ATCATCATCATCCTGCTGTGCTGATGTGTGCCTCCTTTCCCTTCTATCCTGTGCACTTCATGAATGGCTGCCTTAACCTTCATCTTTGTGCCAGATTATTCAGGTGTTCGGGGGAATGAGCGCGCAGATCATCTTGTCAACACTGCGATTGCTATGGCTGATCACTACTGGACAGAAGTGATGTTATCAATGCCATGCTCAGCGCTTACCTTACAAAGGAGCATGGCAAGGGACATGACTCCGTATCCCTCTCTAGGCTGATGGACATGGGAGTGCAGCCTGGAGCTGCAAGAAAAAAACATTTCACTTATAGGACAAGACGTTTCATTCATCAACACAGAACTGGCTCACTACACTCAGAGGAAAGGCAAGACTGACATATAATCAGATTGTGACCGGTATCATTAGAATTGGAACTCTGCGCTGGCTGCTGAAGATGAAGACGGAGCATGCATGGGAATGCCCCGAGTGCTGTGATGTCAATTCCTGACTCAACTCAGAACAGGTGTCATTAGTTGTTTTACACTTATGAAGCTATTGAGGAGGAGATTGGAGCACCTATGGATCTGTCCGGAGTGCTGTGATGATAATCCTTACTAATCACTAATCTGTCCTGTACACCTACACACCGAATTCCCTGTCCAGCAACCACGTCTGCCCACTTTCCTTGGCACGGCTCATGCTGATGGTGATTGTGACAGGAGTAAAGGATGGCCAACCCAAACAATGGCACCGCTATAAACAAGCGCATGTAACATGTCTTATCCTAACCATTAACATTGTCTACAAATACCGTAAACATAACACAGCAGGCCAAGTATGATCTTTTAATGCGATCAGTCCTTAAGGACGAACACATTGCGACGAAGATGAGTGGTGTTCGATGGTACATTGTCAAGTCATTCTACTGCCTTCCAAATACTCCCATCAGCAGTCACTCCAGACGTGGATAAAACCCCCAAGCTAACTATGTACCAAGTACTTGCTACGGGTGACTTGCACCCGATCGCGCAGATACACCTATGTCTATGTAGATGCACCACTTGATGAAAAGAATCCAGACCTTGGTCTGCTACCCGAGCCACTCACTGAAGTATCACTGACTTACTTCCAGTTAATCAGCCTCCGATACTTACCTATCACATTTCAACGTAGGTCGACACACACAAAATTCCCCAGAACCTCCTGTACCCTTAAGGATACACGTCAACCAACGTGCCACAGTTGCAACCGGGCCGACTCTCGCACACATGGCAGACACAAGTCAGTTATAGAAATCACACTGACAGAATTCCGAAGTCTAGTTCATGATATACCATAATCATCCAGACAGTCCACATGGGCTCTCAGAAAGAAAAAAAACCACATTGTTAAAACAATAAGCAAGAAGAAACTCCACAGGGGAGCATGTACAGCAGGAGTCTACCAATCATCAGTAGAAGTGATCCCTCGTTCACAATTGTTTCGGCCCACGAGCTCCTAGACAATTTCAGAGGGTGGGCCTACTTAAGTTCATGAAGCTCAGGCTTGATCTGCTCCTGTTGTATTACCGGATGTTCTCGGACAGGGACAAGACGAAATTGATGACTATACAAAAGGTACTGTGAGATTCGAAGTTTATTTATAGTCGCCGTGGTAGCAATAAATAAGAAGAAACTCCACAGGGGAGCATGTACAGCAGGGGTCTACCAATCATCAGTAGAAGTAACCTCTCGTCGACAAATGTTTCGGCCCACGAGCTCCTAGACATTTTCAGAGAGTGAGCCCACCTGAATTCATGGGTAGCATATTAGAACAGTCAGCATACATTGACGACCAAGTGGCAAGCTTACGGTTGGTTTATCGGACACATGTTATACTTTGTTGGCAAATGGCAGAGGGACACTGGCAGACAATTCGGACACGATGGACTGCTTATAATAAGTAAGTCCTGCTCAACTGTAAGGTTATGTTGGGGCTGCTGTTGACGGTTATGAAATGACCTGAGGTTTGGACCAGGCAGCGATGTTCTTGGAGCCTCAGTCCATCCGTCCATCCATTTTTGAAAAACAAAACAAACAAAATCGACCACGTTCAACCTACTGTAAGCAGTATCGGTTATAACTGTGGTCTGGTTTCTTTGTGCCAGTTATATTGGCTAAGAAATGTTAAATACACCAAATCTAGTGGCTTGGACCTGTTCTCTAGGAGGGGGCTGACGTGCACTATACACACCCACACACACATGTATATTTATTTAACATACACGCCTATGCTGGAATACACGTATAGCCTTCGTGTTTGATTACACACACACACATATGTATATATATATATATATATATATATATATATATATATATATATATATATATGCAGGCGCGTGCACGCCAACGTAGGAATCCATGTATACGTGTCTGCACACACACACACACATATACACACATACACTCAAGAAAACCGCCGTCGTGTAGTGGCAAAACTTTCGCCCGTGGATCGGAAGGCCATGGGTTCAAATTCTGACGGAACCGAAGATAGCAGCAGCTACCATTCAATGGTTAGTTACGTATCCTTTACATGACGTTGCAGAACCAACCCAAGCAGCTCCTGACTGTTTTGTGGTTTCTCTTGGCAAATTTACGTCCAATAGTTTGCCATTGCTTCCTGGACGGTCAGCCCCCTGATATCACTGTCGAAACCAACGCAAGGGTTTTAACCAACTGCGCTAGCGAGCCGGTCACAATGGATGCATAAACTCGTCTGTTCACCACAAATACAGAGCAGTTTAAAAACCGTAACCTGCGCAGTTTCACGGTGTCTGCACTGACCATGCGACGCCAGATCCTCAGGCACAGAATTGCCAGGTCATACACCACTCTTCTTCTCGTTCACCAGCTGCGAACTCTGGCAGAAAGTTATGGTTGTTCATCCACTTCTGGACTGCAGTCCTGTTCCAGAGCCTGCGTGTCCCGGAACAAAAATAAAGGTGACTCCACGCACAGTGGACTACTGTAATGATTCAAGCCATTGTCTTCGCACTGAACCTGCCTGAACCCTCCCGATCATACTCATCGAATCACTGAGTATACATACGCGGGTGTATTTTTGTGTTTCAAGCCAGGCAAACGCTTGCGTCACTGCCATCACCTCCATCGTCATGCTGCTGGTTGTCACGAAGAAGGCGCCGTTGGCTTCTTTGACTGTTCTGCCGGCTGAGCGTGCTGTAAATGCCCATGCGCTTCTTCTTTGGCGTATAACGGATCCGTCTGTATAGATTTCCCTATAATAGGACCCCCGAACCCACATAGGATCAGACACCACTCTAAACAGCGAGTGTATACGAGCAGTAATGCCAGTTATTTTCTTTTCAATATCTTGGAAGTATAATCTTGGAGGATGGGGGAATAGATAGGGAAATAGGAAACAAGATGCCAACGAGCCAGTGTACCTGTATGCCAACTGACACCGTTATTAAGAGATCCAAACATAAGGATGAGCGCCAAGAAACGAATATAAACAGCATAGTCATATCAACACTGTGTTACTAGTGCCAGACTATGAAATTATCAAAGGCTAACCTACGTAAAATCAATACCCGTGAAATGAGACGCATGAGAAAATCCACAAATTTAACCATCCGAAATAAGTTAGAAACCGTGTGGGTCCCGGGGCCCCATTGTGGGGGTGGGGGAACAAGAATAGACCCACTGCCTACCCAACAAGTCTGTCGTAAGAGTCGACTAATTGGGAGCTTCCTTCGAAGTTGGAGTACATCTGCCTAAAAGGCAAAGAACCAACAGTCTGCATGCAAATAGCTCAGACCTGTGAAACGGATGTACACGCAACACTCAGTTTCTGAAAGAGAGTCCAGAAGTGGACGAACAACCAGAACTTTGCCGCCGGAGTTTACAGCCAGCGAACGCAAAAAAAAAAAAAAAAGTTAGAAATGATATTATCAGGCAGAATGTGTGAACAACACCATGCAGCACATTCAAATAGAAGATCAAATGATTTGGTCATCTAGTAAGAATGCAGCCAGAACAAGTACCAACGCAGACCTGTCTATTAAAAGATCTAAAGTGAAAACAAGAGGGCGCCCTATGAGAAAATAGATTGATGACATTAAACAGTTTCTTCATCGACACCGAATGACAATAGCCACGGCTACCCGTCAAGCAATGGGTCACAAGATGTTTCTCCACACAGCGCTTAACAGCAGAAGTTGAAACTGATGATGATAATTTATTGTGCATGGCTATTTGTCCTATAAGAAGTGATTATTAGTTGTGTTTTTTTTCCCCCTGTGGCTATTTAGGATGTCTCTTCTTATTCTCCTCCTCTACGCCTTCTCCTTCTTCTATTGCTTCATCTGCGCCTCCTCCTCCACTTGATCTTCTCCTTCTTTTACGCCTCCTCCTTCTTCGTCTTCTACTCCTCCTCTTCATCTTCTTTTTCGCCTCCTCATCCTTCTCTACTTCTTCTTTGCCTCCTCCTTCTTCATGGAGAAGACTATATGAAGCAACGTTTCTGAAGACAGGAGTCTTGTTTCGTCTGTCCTCCCGAGTTGCCATCTACAAAAAAAAAAGTAACTACTTGCCCTAGTGCGGGAAAAAAGTTAATTCAAAGAAAAAGAACCAATGGCGACCAGCCCGTTTCTTGGCGGTCAATACAATAGAAAGCTGGTATAGGGAGGAGCCCACGTGAGACATGCTACCTGGAGACATGAATCTTATCCCAATCCTTCACCTAACCACCAGGTTACACTTCGGTCTCAATTCATACGCTTTAACTATTGGAAAGTAGTTCGTAAATTACATATATTTTATATAAAAAAAATGAAACTACATAAAACAGTAATATTTTATGATAATAACCAGAATATTGCAAGATAAATAAGATATTAATGTTAATACATACATTTAAAAAAAAAAAGAATGTCTTGTGGTTGGTGTTGAGAGTGTCAGCTAAATTTAGAACATACCGTCAGAGACCGGGACTACTTTTATTTTAAGGAAACCAAGATGGCGATGTGGAATCCAGAGGAAAATGGTCTCCGGCAGATTTTACAGTTGTTGAAAGAATCTCAGTCTCCAGATACAGAAACTCAACGAGCCGTTCAGCAGGTATCCGCATAAATACAAATAATATCGTATAATTTGCCAAGAGGGCATGTATTTTATATGAAATACTGTTTCAATCGGTTGGAAGATTGTGATTGAATTGAGTTGATTGACATGTCCAGACCATGCCATATTTAACGAAAATTCAGATATGATACCTGAGATACGATCTTTGATTGGCTTTCACTTTATTTAAATTTTTGTCCATAATGATTAATTTATAATCACTCATCATTTTTTTTTAGTAAACGTTAACTCTTTAGTATGTAACTGACTCTATGAAGATGAATTTTCTTTTTCTCTGAACAATGTTGAAGTTGACCGAATTGGATTTCTTACTGTTCAAAGTTCTGAAGATTTCTAGCCTACTCCATTTAAAACACTAGGCAGTTTGATATTAAAACTCTACAAATTTAAATCATACGATATAAATACATTTCACATAGCTTTGTGACATTGTAGCTTATATGCATATATATCTGTGTCATGAATTTAATTTTATCATCATAAATTGGTAAAGAAAGCAAAATCTTATTAAATTTTCTCATTTTCAGATAACGTTCTGTAGATCATCATCATAAACCACTTCTGCCGTTGGGGGGGGGGGGGGGGAGAATATTTGCGATCCAGTGCACGCTTTTGTCTTGCCGAGAAGGCGTAGATTGTCTTTAATGTTGTTGATCCATGTTTTCCTTGGCAGTCCTCTTAATCTTGTAACTGATTTTCTGAAATGAAGTGCTTGTGATGGTAATTAATGCTGCGGCTATCTTCTGAATAACAGTCCCAAATTATCAAGGCAGAAAATATACCCTAACAGGGCCTCAGTCACGTGTCAATTGTGCACTTCCCGCGATTTCCGCCCCCGCTGAGAGTATATCCTCGCGGCGTGGATTGGGGATAAACTAGATGGGTGGGACTCACGAGCAGCAGCTACCGCATTTCCTGCAGCTGCCTTCATTTTATTTGCTCGTGAGTCCTAGCCATCTAGTTTATATCCACGCCGATGTTGCTGCATTCTAACGAGATGGCCAAACCCCTGCTGTTTCTCAATGAATCTAGGTTTCGTTCCCACAATTTGCCTGATAGTTTCATTATTCACTTGATCTCAGATGGTTAGGTTGGCTGCTTTTCTCAGGCACCTCATCTCGCAGGTGGTGATTTTGCGTATATGGGCTTTAGATAGTGTCCGTGTTTGGCACTGGTAGCTTAATGTTAGAATGAATATGCTATTAATAATCTGTCTCTTAGCACTCATAGTTATGCTTGGGTGTTCTGAAGATAAACTATTTCTGTACATGGAGGTTTTACCCGAGTCATTAGATACAAAAATTTATTAATAAATGCTAAATCATAATGCTTTACTATATATATATATATAGTTGTAGAGACCAGTTTTTGGGAAGCCGGGTTCCTTTATGTTGACAGTTCTGACCAAATAGTAAAAGTAAAAGAATGCGGCTATCTTCCGAATAACTGTTTCTGAGAGTATCCCCCACACGTCGTGGATTGGGGTTAAACTAGATGGCTGAGACTCAAGAGCAGCAGCTACCGCATTTCCTGCAGCTGTCTTCATTTTATTTGTCTTCATTTTTATTTTAGTCGCAGCAATCTAGTTTAGCCCCAATCCACGCCTCATGGGGGATACTCTCGGCGGTATAGTCCCCAGAAGTTCGCAGTTGACACGTGACTGAGGCCCAGTTAGGGTATATTTTTAACCTTGATAATTTGGGTCCGTTATTCGGAAGATAGCTGAATGCACTAAGAACAGGAATCAAGGAGTACATTCATTCACATACACCAGGCGGTACTTTGGAGTCGAAAGTAAGCATAATTCAACTTGTGTAAAAGGGAATACAAAAATTTAAGAAAAAAAATGTAGCATGAATGAATATAATCCTATCAGGTAAAAATCTTTAACCAAATGGCAGTGATGCATCTAAAATGTGATGTTAGTAAACTTTTGTAATAAAATGATACATCAAGCATGGTTTTATTAAAGAGTTTACTGAAGTATTAGCATCTCAACTTTTCAGAAACTAAGCGAGCTCAATAATTATCCAGACTTCAACAACTACCTGATATTTGTCCTGACAAAACTGAAGTCAGAAGGTATGACATGTTGTCAGTCGTTTCTTGATATGTAAATTGTTGACCCAGAAATTGTATGTCATTCTGACCATAATGTTTGTGTGTATCCACTTGTGTAGATTACAGTGAAGACTTATCTTCTACTTCATACATGCTTGAACTGTCAACTGTTGTTGTATTTTTTTAGTGCCAAATAGTGCATGTCTTATTGGTTGTTAAAATATAATGTCCACTGATTGGTTGTTGAAATGTACCACTCTATGTCATAGAAATGTAGTCATGTATGATTGGTTGTTGAAGTGTACCACTTTATGTCATAGAAATGTACAGTCATGTATGATTGGTTGTTGAAGTGTACCACTCTATGTCATAGAAATGTACAGTCATGTATGATTGGTTGTTGAATTGTGAATGTTGATTTTCTGTATCCAGAGACTGTTTCCTTCAACAACCAGCTCTTGAATTGTATTTCCCTGTGTGGATTCCGGGACCCTATTATAGGGAAAACAAGAATAGAACCACTGCCTACCCAAAAGCATGTCGTAAGAGTCGACTAATTGGGAGCTTCCTTCGAAGTCGGAGTGCATCTGCCTGAGAGGCAAGGAACCAGCAGTCACACAAATGAGTCATCTGTAAAACGGATGCACACGCATCCAGTCCAGAAGTGGATGAACAACCAGAACTTTCCCCCAGAGTTTACAGCTGGTGACCGCGAAGAAGAATTGTATTGCTCAGTGTGATTGGTTATTAAAGTGTACAGCCCTGTGACTGGTTGTTGTGTGCCAATCTGTCATAGAAATGTATCATCCTTTGTGATTGATTGTTTGTGCCACTCTTTGTGATTGATTGTTAAAGTGTGCCGCCCAATGTGATTGGTTGTTAAAGTGTGCCGCCCAATGTGATTGGTTGTCGCAAAAGAGTAATACTTCATGTGTGATTAGTTAGTATGCATGTCGTGTCTGCTTATACTGTTTTAAGATTTAGACCTTTAATGACTGAAATGTTGAAATGAATGAACAGCTGTTTAGTAATAAAATGTCAATGAACTTTTTCAGATTTTCTCCTCCAGTGGAGGAAACACTCCTTCCCTGTGTGGGTTTGCGATCCCATTGTGGGGGAACAAGAATATACCTGCTGCCTCCTCAGCAAGCATGTCATAGGAGTTGACTTATTGGGGATATCTTGAAGCTGGCGTGCATCTTCCTGTGAGGCAGAAAAGCAACAGTCTGCACACAGATAAGCCAGACCTGTAAAACAAAAGTGCATGCAACACTCAGGTTCTGAAACAAGACTAAAAACTGGCGGTGCGTAAACAACCAGAGCTTTCCCCTGGAGTTTTCAGCCAGTGAATGTGAATTTCACTCCCATGAATAGCTATAAAAGAAATACAGAATTAGTCTTTGCAAACATTACTGCAGGTGGAGGGAAACAGATGACTTGCCTTTTCGAGGACTTCACATTAGAAATGTTCACATATGAATGTGAACAGTGTACTGTGCAAAGGGTTTTCCTGATTACCTATTGTATAAACTTACTTAGTCGCTCCTCTTCTACCTTGGGGTGTAGAGGTTTGTCAGAGAGATCGCCAGACGTCTCTATCAGCAGTTTTCTTTCTGCCTTTGTTCCATTCCTGTCCTCTGTCAGTTAGGGACTGTCGGATGTTGTCTTCCCGGCGCACCCTGGGTCGTCCCGGAGGTCTGGTTCTTAGCCTCCCATGCTTGCCATGGTGGCCGATTTTCTCCCATTCTGCATACATGTCCAAACCATCGTAACTGTGACTGATCTACTCGGGTTAGTAAGGGCCGGGTATCAAGATCTTGACGTATTGTCTGATTGCAGACTTTGTCCCTTCTTGTCACTTGGACCACCTTTCTCAGGTATCTAATTTCCGAGGCCTGCAGCTGGCTTCTGTGAGCTGTTGTCATTGCCCGTGATTCACACCCATAGGTCAGGACAGCCTATTGAATAAATAAATTGTCAAAAGATCAGATGGTGGATATCCAAACAGTTATGGTTATGTATAATTATATGTTAATTTATACTAAAATCTTCCACCATAGATGACCCGACACGCTCACTGAGTGGCCTGATTTTAAAGAACAACGTCCGGGCACATTTTGAAAGGTTTCCACCCGAAGTGACCAATTTTATCAAGCAAGAATGTCTGAACAGCATTGGGGATCCATCTCCGCTCATCAGAGCTACGATTGGTATCATCATCACAAACATAATCTCCAAGGGAGAACTGCACAACTGGCCAGAAGTTCTGCCACATCTCTGTGCATGCCTCGACTCCGAGGACTACAACACATGTGAGGTAGGTAACTGTTTTGAAAAGTTACCATGTCAGTGGATTTCTAATGTTAAAGTCAAATGGTATAAGCCTCTATTTACATTTTCTCCCATCTCCTTTTGAGTTCTGGGGCTTTATTGTGGGAGAAAACCAGAATAGACCCACTGGTTCCCCAACAGACATGTCGTAGAAGTTGACTAATTGAGGGCATTCTTTGAAGTCAAGAGTGTAACTGCCTGATAGGCAGGGAACTAACTGCATAAACATCAACCAGATCTGTAAAAACAGGTGTGCACTCAAGTTCTGGAGCAAGACCAAAATTTTACAGCCATTGTACGGGAAGAACCACCCTCATATTTTTTTTTTTTTACCGGGTTGTTTCCTTTCTTGTCTAATGCACTTACACTTTGAATCTCCAGTGTCTTATAAACATTTTGTATTTTAACGGATAACAACAGATCACTCTAATTTATAAGTTTAGAGTGTTTACTTTACCAACTTGTCATTAAGTTATTGCTAGATATAAGTAAACATTTCACTTGTTTACTGCAAGCAACACTCTGTGCTAGGCCTTAGCATGGCCTGGTTCAATTTTTTCATCTTGCTACAGTATATGCCTACACTATTTCAGCCTTGATACTTTGATTATTTTGGTTGTTAACATGTTGGAGACAATTTTATGCTTAACATATAATCATTATGTTAAAAAGATTGTACTGATTTTATTTTAACTTGTTTAAAAATGTTAGAACAAAGTTGTTTTCTACGTTGTTAGTCTTTGCTGTGGGCACTACTTCATTTTGTAGTGCAGGCAGGTTAGAAAGACCCGTATAACAGGCTCTTTACCCACGGACACTATTCCATACCTTCATTATCCTAGAAACTCCGGGCCCGTATTGGGCTTATAAGCCACCTCTAAACTTACAATCAACTATAGTTTCATAACAGATGAAAGAACGTGCTCTTCGTCACCTTTGATGAACGAACAACTTTTTTGTTGTTGCTACAAACTAGGTCTTATGTTTATTGCATTCGTACATTTACGTTAACATAGTCAGTGGGGACTAGTTATACTGTAAGTAGGACATAATCATAGCATGAAAGATACTGAATATTTGTTGCATTGTTTTATATTTCAGGGAGCTTTTGGGGCTCTGCAGAAAATTTGCGAAGACAATGCAGAGACACTTGATAGTGATATGGCGGAAAGACCACTGAATGTTCTCATTCCAAAGTTCTTAAACTTCTTCCGACATCAGAGTCCAAAAATACGGTAAGAATGTTTGAAAATTTTAAGTATATTATGGGCCTTATGTTTCCTGGAGGCAATTTATGGGGTACCAGGACTAATTGGTGAAGCAAAAATAAACTGTAACCAACCACAAGAGTTGGCTTGAAATGTTTTGGAATGCTGTTCGTGTAAGCTCTGACTGGGATTACTTTTGGGTTAGAAATTTAAATTCTTAAACGATAATTCTCAGGATTGGATAAACCCATAACTTTCCACAGAATGGGTTAATGTAACAGAAGAGTGAGATAGCTGAACTTAAGTAGAGCAGATATATTCAACTGGCAGCCCTCTGACTCCATTTTCAAAATTGTGGTCCCTGAGTAAATTCATTTGGAGAGCCTTGGTGTAGTAGACGGTAATCAAGAAACATCAAGTACATAACACTTGAGTTTACAGGGCTACCGCTTCTACAGTTAAAGAAAATAATCACAATTTTTTTGAAGTCTTCTTGTTCATGTTCACTGGCTGCAAATTCAGGTGGAAAGTTCAGAACCTGTTGTTTGCACATCTGTCTTACAGATCTGACTTATCTGTATGCAGATAGTTGGTTCTTTGCCTCTCAAGCAGATGTACTCTGATTTCAGAGGAAGCCCCCAGTTAGTCGACTCTTACAGCATGCTTGTTGGGGAGGCCATTTTCCCTACAATGGGGCCCTGGAACCCACACCAGGAGCTTCAGTTCAGAGTTTCATAGTTCCTAAATGTTTAGGACCATTGTAAGCAACATAAATTGTATATTTGGTGTATTTTTTTGTGTGTCCTTCAGGTCTCATGCCATTGCCTGTGTAAACCAGTTCATCATCAGCAGAACTCAGGCGCTCATGATTCACATCGATACTTTTATTCAGGTTTGTACCGGCATCTCTTTTTCTTCACACGACCTCTTTCACCGCTACTCATTCTTCTGACCGCCTCAGCCATAGACTTGTCATAAGAGTTTATCTGATGTATTTCCATTTAATCTTAGTCTAGCTTGTGCTCTATGTCCATTTTGTTGTTGGTGTGTTTGTCTTGTACAGTATGTGCCACAAAAAAAATTTTTTAGTGGCAAATCGTGTGTGTAATTAAGTGTTGATTCAAAGCTGACTATTTGTCTATGACTTTATTCCTGATTTTATCTCTTCTGTTCACTACTGCAGCCTTTCTCAAATCTCCTAAATACTTAATTATTCTCTATTAGTCATTTACAGTGCTTACTACCTGGTGTGAAAGTCTTCGGTTTAAATCCACATTGACACATATTTGTATATATCAACCTTGGTTTCCGAGCCAACCCAGCCGAAAATGAGCACAATGAAAAATGTTGGAAGGTTACTGCAGCTGCCGAGGAGTTGATTGGGCAAATTTGGTCTAGTACTCTACACCTGATTCTGCACAGCACATGAAGAAGAAGATAACACAGTACAAACTAGTTGAATTGTAGGCCAATGTAGAAAACATGCTGAGGGGGGAGCAGTTAAACACAAGGTCACTCACCAGCTGTAAGTTGTGTGAATTCTTCAGTGATGTCTTGCTACGTTCGGGCAAATATTTGTCCTGCATACATCTCTCAAATAGAAGAGAAACCTCTGCTAACGAGAAAAGAAATTGACCAATGGCCAGCGATGCGTGACACCTTTGGGGATAGGGTAGGAAAGTATACAAAACAGGAGAAAGATCCCAAGTTGTCTTCCAGGCATACCAGGATAACGACATTCTGTACAAGACCTGTTTACAGGATGAGTTAATAGCCAATGAGTGATACATTACTGACACTGTAGTTATTGTTGTCCAGCCATTTAACCCCCAATATAAATGTTGTACATATTACAGAATCTGTTCTTCCTGGCGGAAGATAAAGACACAGAAGTGAGAAAGAATGTTTGCCGGGCATTGGTCATGTTGGTGGAGGTCAGGATTGACCGTCTGATGCCTCATATTGATCAGATCATTCAGGTAGGCTATTTGCTTTCCTTGTGTGTGTGTGCAAAAAGGGTTAGACAAAAAACCAACCAGAGAAACTTATGTACATTTGCAAGCCTTATGACCTAATACAGTCGTTCTTAGACTTTTTCACAATGATGTGTGTCTGTTCTTAAAACACCATCCACCCCTTTTATTTTTCCACCCTGACCCGGGGTGGGGGGGGGGGGGGTAGAATAAATATTGGACAGTTGCTGTTATTGTCTCTATATTACTCATAATAACACAGCCTAGTCATTTTGTGGAGTAAAAATGAATATAATGCAGGTTATTATAAAAATGAACGAATGTTTTTTTTAGAGGCACAAATTGGTCATACAGACCTATCTTAACATTTGCTCTACAAAATACTCATCCTTCACAATACAGTTGCAAACTGGAAGAAGCATGGATAGAGCTGTTATCGTAAATGCTGTGCAGACTAGTTTGGGCTATAATGTTGAATTTTTGATGCTTTGTTGAAGCATGTCTGTGCCTGTCTTTGAGGTAAAGACAGGAGATCTTATAACCAGCTTCTCATGGGAACAGTCAGAGAGGTACCTTGGAGTGGCTGCTGCATCGGAGGACTGAGCACACGTGGGGGAATCACTTTGCAAAGTCGTCGATTATGATAACATTAACGTTTGTTTATAGAACATTGTGTGTTTATAAAGCAGCATACATAAAATCAGATGATGCAAGCAGTATTCTTCTGTCATAACATGAGACAGAAAATGGTACGAGTACGCTGTGGCACGGTTACAAAACCAAGAAAACATGTATCTTTACAGTTTTGAATGACCTGTTTCGTTGTTTCAGTACATGATGGAGAGAACACAAGATCCTGACGACACTGTGGCTCTGGAATCTTGTGAATTTTGGTTGTCGCTGGCAGAGCAGAAAGTCTGCAAGGAAGTGCTGAGTGCTCACATCGACCGCCTGGTCCCAATTCTGGTTAAAGGCATGAGATACTCGGAGATTGACATCATTCTTTTGAAGGTATGTTATCTGTAATATATTAAGTGTGATATATTGTTTTCTAGAATGTTATATGATGTTTATATATAAAAATATATTATCTATAATGTTATATAATATTTGTGTTATGTTATCTAAATTGGTGTCTTGGTGCAATATATTATCCGTAATGTATGTGTGCAATATAGTCTATTTTTTGTCCAGACACAGTATATGTCGACTTGGGAAGCAAGGTCGGTCCTATTTACCATTTCCACATTAGAGAGTAACTTCCCTTGCCATTCATGAATCGCCGTGTCGTATGGCTTGTTCTATGTTGCAGGGGTGATGCGCTTAGTGACTGGCTACCAGCACATAGCATTTTTTGTGTTACTGGCTGGTGATATTGTATGTTATGTATTCCAGGATGTAAGCGCTTTTAACGGTTCTTATACGTGAAGAGCTGGGCCTAACCCCCACCGCTTGTATCCCACGAGAAAGTGCAGCCTATGTCGGGCAACTGCATGCTGCCTAGGCATCATGGGACCTAACCTTCACTCTCTTATGGTATACAAGGAGAGAGTGGTTAGGGCCTGTTCTGTATTGCTGGCCAGCGACACTCCGGACAAGCCGTGCAAAACTGCAGTTTATGAATAGCAAGGGAAGTCACTTTCTTTCTGAGGCAGAAAATGTAAATAAGACCGCAACGTCAATTTAAACAAATTTCCTGAACATGAACCATAGGGCCTGAACCCACGACCTTCTGATCCACAGGTTCACATCTAGCCTCGACACCACGGTTGCTCCCACCTGCATTATTAATAAGAAAATCTGCCATGTTTATTTGTGTGTGTGTGACGGGATTTTTTCCTATAAAAGGCACTGGTGCTCCACAAACTTGTCTGTTAAATTAGTGCTGAAAAAACAAATTGTCTTGGACGATGCAGGCACTTCGTACCACCAGAAACAAGCCTTATCTGCCACATTGTAGCAGTGGTGTTGTTTCTATTACTCTCTTGGCTGTAGGCATTGCAGTTTTCACAGCTGCCTATCAAATTACATTGCATCATGTCTAAACACCGACACTGCGAACGAAGAGCTGATGAAACTTATCAAAGTTTGTTCAGTTAGTCAACCAGTGCACCCTGCGGTATCACTCATGTATCGCAATTCTTCAGATAGCATAAACACAGTTCACAAGCATAATCATTAGGTTGAATTGTCGAATTAACAATCACAATCCTTTACGCTGAATCGGAACATGTCCGGTCCGGACTAGGTTGGGTGTAAGAACTTGCAGCCAAATCAGATTCAGACATCAAGTTTGCTTCATCCTTCCGTACAACATACATATTGTTCTTGAATCCAAGAGTTAAATACTCCTTCTTGCCCACGTCTGTTGATCCTCATGCTCTTTCATTTCGCACTGGTTAAACAATTTAATTTGCCCCCCAAAAAGTTTGTGCACCACGCTTTATCTTTGATAAATTCAAATATTCATTTTCATTATCTGACATAATTCCCACTGTAAACATAAATTACTGAGGAGAAAAATAATTATCACTACACTTGTTTATTTTGTGGTGCCGCCCACAACAGGGAGATGTAGAAGAGGATGAGATGATACCGGATAAAGAGTCTGACATCAAGCCCAGGTTCCACAAGTCTAGGACTCACTCCAATCAGAAACACGACGATGGCGAGGTTAGTTTACATGCTTTTTTCTTCTCTCCCTTTCTGGTTGGTATTTGTGGTAGTCGTGTGATGTATGTTATTTGTAAATATATATTTTTTTTTGTAATTCCAGTAGTTATTATTCCACACTTAAGCAAAGCTTGAGCTTGGCCTTATATGTTTTCTGTGTCTGGCGTCCCTGTCTAATTTGGTTATTATCAGAACCTGTCCTAGGCTTAACAGTTTATTTGGGACAGTACAGAAGACTCGTCATTGTGTGAAAATAATAATCTGATTTTAAATTTACCGAAGCATACTACCAGAGTAACCAGTTGGAACCACGTTTGAGGTGCTTTCTATAAGAGAAAAAACTTAGTTATATATTGTATGTTGATATATGTGTAAGAATTAAAAACTAGATGACCCCCGTGTGGGTTCCGGGGCCCCATTGTGGGGAAAACAAGAATTGACCCACTGCCTCCCCAAAAGCATGTCGTAAGAGTCAACTAATTGGGGAGCTTCCTTTGAACTCGGAGTGCATCTGCCGGAGAGGCAAGAAACCAACAGTCTGTATTCAAGAGAATGAGATCTGTAAAACTGATGCACACACAACACTCAGGTTCTGGAGCAGGACTGCAGTTCAGTAGTGGACGATCAACCAGAACTTTCCGCCAGAGTGTACAACTGGTGAACGTGAAGAAGAAGAAACTAGATGATACTTGGTGAAGTAAAAGTAAAGGACCCTTTTCCATGCCTGCAGTGTGCATACAGGGCCACACCTATATTTTGTAGGCCAAATGGCACCTGGGGGGGGGGGTGTGGTCAGCTTTACGCCAGCACATTGATGATATACTTTAGTAAAAATGATTTATTTTTTTATGCTTTCGTTTTCAGGAAGGGGATGCAGATGAAGGGTATGATGATGATGACTCTCTGTCTGACTGGAATCTCAGTAAGTTTATCTGGCAAATCGCTAACAGTTGTTTATATGTATATCATCAGGCGATAAGGAGACATTTTCCCATTAAAAACCATAATAAATTAATAGTGGGGGAAACCGAACATACAGGGCAAAGAAAATTATGTGGAGAGATTAAACAGTTAGGTAACAAACAATTTTACAATAATTTCACTAGAGTATATGATAGTGGAGAATAATTGCAGGCAAGAAAACTGCAGGATTAATAAAAAAAATAATAAGAATACAATCATTACATCTGTGTCAAATTTTTGTATATATTTAATATGTTGAGTGTTAAATGTTTGCAGGAAAGTGTTCGGCTGCTGCTCTGGATGTTCTAGCTAACGTTTTCCACGAAGAGATCCTGCCCGTGCTGCTTCCCATCCTGAAGGAGACATTGTTTCACATTGACTGGGAAGTCAAGGAGTCTGGGATTTTGGTGCTGGGCGCGATTGCTGAAGGCTGTATGAGTGGGATGATCCCTCATCTTCCTGAGTTGATACCGTACCTCATCAGCTGTCTGTCTGACAAGAAGGCTCTGGTCAGGTCTATCACCTGCTGGACACTCAGTCGTTATGCCCACTGGGTTGTCGGCCAGCCCCATGACAACTTCCTCAAGCCTCTGATGACCGAGGTAGGTTCCATATAGCCACGGTTTTCGCATAAGTAGCTTTATCAGTAATTAATCCATTCTTTAACAGTATGCATATTGTGCAGATTAATCCAGTGAACTGACATAAAAGCTTGCAGAAAGAGGTAAGGGGAACATTGAACAGAAAACAGACAAATCATCGGACCCTTTCTTAGCTTGAACGACACAATAATAACAAAGGGCAAAGTACTCTGCATGTTATCGCCACTTGTATTTAAAATCTCTTTTTTGCTGAAGATCGGCTTCTGGCCCTTGTTGATCCCAATTTTGAAAATAGTAGGTCCTGTGTAAACCTAGTTTATGACACATGTCACTGTACTGTTGTATATAACAGCTGCTAGAATACTTTGCTTGTCTGTTTCCCAGCTGCTGAAACGGGTCTTAGATGCCAACAAGAGAGTGCAGGAAGCTGCTTGCTCAGCCTTCGCCACCCTGGAAGAGGAGGCCTGTACTGAACTGGTTCCTTACTTAGGCTTCATTCTGGAGACATTGGTGTTTGCATTTGGAAAGTATCAGGTACCAAGCTTGTGACCTAACTACTGTTCTCTTGTCATATCTTATATGATATATCTTTGCATATTGTGCTGAATGGAATAAGACATAGCATTTTCATCGGAGACTGGGGCCTACGTTGGGTAAACTGTCCAGTCATTTCTTAAGGAAATCTAGTTAGTCGACAGATGATCATCATCGCACATTGAACCAATCAGTCCTTAAGTGCTCAGATCCCCTCTTCAGTAGCTTCGACAGCGTTTAGTGACTTATGACACCAATTCTATATTGATTTACTATTCTTTGGGCCCCTGTGTAGCGCTCTTGTCTGGCTTCACCCCTTTTTGATGTTACGTTTGCGCAGTCTCATCAGTGTTGCAGATTCACAATCGTTAATTTGTTCGATCGAGCCGCCTCTCAAGGAAGTCTGTTTACACCAAGTCACTTCAGTGTATTTCCATGGCCGTTTCACAATTTCCCAGTGTGTGGTTTCCTATTCCAAACAGTTCAAAGTAAAGTATCACTTTTGACACAACTGCAGCTTTGATTTTATCTCAATATTCAAACAGGATTTTTTTTTTAGAACAGTATTCAGCAGATAGGTGTAGTGCCAATAAAATAAGGCAGAAAACATCTCCATTTAAATTTATATGATCAGAACTGTACATCCCCAAATAGTTTCAAGGACCTCGGATGTAACAAGCATGTTGTAAAAGTTGACTATTAAGAAGTTTCTTTGAAGTTGGAGTGTCTGAGAAGCAACAGTCTGCATGCAAATCAGGTTGTTCAATGGGTGTGCACACAAAACTCAAGTTCTGAAATAAGACGAGTCCAGAAGTAGAGAGACTTTCTGCCAGAGTTTACAGCTGGCGAACACTGAAGAAAAACTGCACTGGTCGTCCGCTTTGAAAACAATTTCTAGGTATCATTGTTAATGTGAGCTGCAGGTAGGGTCAGTTTCTACATAATCTCTTCCTTCTATCCTGCTGGCCAGTCGTGTTACTGTCCAGCCTTGGAACTGGGAAGAACATAAAAGAGTGGCCTATCCATAATGCCAGCGAGACTGTCGTTTGCATAAGTTGGGTCACAACACTTCTTATTTTTATCTTGTGTACATCCTCTCAGGATCAAATTATAACAGATGATTATTGAGTGCCATACCACTCGTCACAGACTATTTAAGTTCATCACTAACCTGCACACACATACGCTAACCTTCACATGGGGGAATTGTTAACATTAACATACACAATGTAGGGCTCATAACGACCCTTGAAAACTTGAAGAAACCTTGAAAGACCCTAGAATTAGTAAAGAGGGTATGATGATCCTTGAAGTTTCGATAATTGTTAACATTCAGCTGTAGTTGCTGACCTCCACTTGCAGTCACTGACCTCCACACACATTCGCTAATGTCTAGGTATATCACCAAGTATTCCATTTATCCCTGCATCAACAAATAAACCCCATAAATGTTTTTTTCATGCACAGCACAAGAACCTGCTCATCTTGTATGATGCTATTGGAACACTAGCGGACTCTGTTGGCCACCATTTGAACAAACCGGTGAGTGATCAAATCAACATTACCACGCCACACTTGACCTCTTCCTTCTATCCTGCTGCCAGCCATGTTAGCTGTTCAGTTTTGGAACAAGGAAGTACATTATAGAGTGGCTTATCCATAATGTTCACAAAACTGTTGTGTGCATAAGTTGGGTCACAACAATCTGCTCATTTAAAAAAAAAATACATAATGAAGAGCGATGGTGCTATGATAACCGGTGCACACATGCTGGCTCTGCCTGTCTTGGTTCCTTGAGTCAGTTTTGGGGGGGGAAGAACCAGCACTCTAACAAACAGATGACTAGTTACGAGTGTGTCCTTGGAAGTTGGAGTGCATCTGCCAGAGCAGTGAAAGAATGTCTGTGTACAAATAAGCAGTATTTGTAAAATGGATGTGCATGCAAAAGTTCTGGAACAAGTGACTTAATAATAAGCATGATTTCAAAGGCAACTAAGATTTTGTTGAAATCATGTGTGTTGGACTAAAAGGCACAGATATCACAGCCTTGCTTTAAACCACAACACAGTGTGCCAACCACTTGTTCAAGAGTAAACACACAAGAAATCAGAGTCGGGCTGAGGAGTTTTTATTTCTCCAAGTTTTATATATATTTATTTCTGCACATCAAAGTCCAGGGTAAATTTCCTCTACAGTCAAATACTTATAAACATATTTAGCTAGCTTCAAATTATTTACTAGATGTTGTCATAAAATAAGTCTACCTTGTGAACAGGTTATGGAAAGTTGTACGGGCACAGGCAAATCTGAACTGGGTAGTTTTCTTATAGATTTAGCAGTCTTGTGGTTTTTCACTGTTGCATAATGGCAGTCCTGTCTTTGCGTTTTGTTCTCTTCCTTCTATCCTGTTGGTCAGTTTTTTTTTACTGAGCAGCCTTGGAACAAGGAAGAACATAAAAGAGTGACTTATCCATGATGCCAACGAGACTGTCGTTTGCATAAGTTGGGTCATAACATTGTTTACTATAGCTTGTGCATTACCTGAGCCAGTTTTCAGTATCTGGGGCTTATCATTTGTAAGATGATCAGCAGGTGCCATAAAATTGAATGATTATGCTGCTTTACAAATATCTATTCAACTGCTGATCATGTTACATACCAGCATCTCCACTAGATTCGTACATATGGTTTTAGATTTTCTCTTAAAAACCTTCTGGACTTTGTTACAGAATCTGAGTGTTGCATGCACATCTGTTTTACAGATCTGGAATACTTGTATGCAGACTGTTGGTTCCTTGCCTCTCACTCAGATGCAGTCTGACTTTATTTCGGTAGGCAGTGGGTCTATTCTTTGCTCTCTTCCCTATAACAACGCCTCAGAACCCACAATGGGAGCACCGTTTTTAACAAACAGCTAATTGCTATAATTCTGGGAAGTAGCAGGATGCATTAAACTGTTTCTATGCCAAACAGCGTGTTGTCCATGATTGGGTACCTGTAGGTATGTTATGCTTTTACATTTTATGTTTAGTGAGCAACCCTGAAAAACTCAATATAGTTTCTTTCGAGGAAAGAAGTAGTTATACCCATGAGCTTATTACTTCCATTCTTTACTTCCCTGGGCAAGAAACTTGTGGGACTGAAAGAGTTAGGGACTCCTGACTGGTCAGTTCTGTGTACATAATGGTTGTTCATCTCTTTCCTCTATCCTGCTGGTCAGTCAACTCATGACTGGTCAGTTCTGTGTATATAATAGTTGTTCATCTCTTCCCTCTATCCTGCTGGACAGTCTACTCTTGACTGGTCAGTTCTGGAACTGGGAAGTACATTAAACTAGGAGTTATCCATAATGTGAGCAGCCAGACTGTTGTTTGCATAAGTTTGGTCGTGACAGTTAAGAGATGGCTTTGCCGCACATAAACATACATGATGTTTATGTATGATAATGCCAGCACATTGTTACTGTGTGTGTTTGGCTTGGTAGGCTCGATGTCTAATACACGAAGAGTGCTAATTAATTACACTTACCTAAATAACACTGGCTATTGCCGTTAGCTCGAAGACATCTTACCACAGACATCAGACGCATTCGTCATTTTTGGTCGAAGACATCTTATTACAGACATCAGACACATACGTCATTTTTGGTCAAAGACATCTTATCACAGACTTCAGAGGCATTTGTCATTTAGGTCATATGAAAAATGGAAACTAGCATGTGACCACTGAAAAGATCAGCTGGGAAAAGAAAGGGAGGACGACCATGCATGAACCTCAACAGCCTTTTGTCATGGCATGGGGCGGTGTGAGCTCATGAACTGCTGTTAAAGATGGCAGACTGTGAAATGACTTGATTATCCACTTGAAGATGATCATTTACCATGTACATAGACTTTGCTTTTTGATAGTGGTACACAAGTTGCATTGCAAACGAGATTGGAGGGGTGGGGTGCTAACCATACAGTATTTTTAAAGGCAGCAGTTTTTGCTCATATCCACTACAGCCAACCTCTGTTGTGGAGATGGCACCCCAAAAAGTGTGCATTCTGGTGCACTGTGTCTGGATAATAACAAAGGAGTTAACAACCCTGGCGATGTTTTGTTGTAATGTGTCTGGATAATAACAAAGAATTTAAAAACTCTTGCAATGTTTTGTTGTAATGTGTGTGAATTGTATGAACCAGCTGATTTCTTAAAACTTAGGAATGTGAAAGTATATGGTATGCTGTTTTTGTTTCTGTGATGTTGTGACATGCAGAAATATGTGAACATGCTGTTTTGTTGTATTGACATGTTCAGAAATATGTGAACAGCTGTTTTTGACTGGACTTGTTCAGGAATATGTGAACGTGCTGTTTTTTGTATTATGTTCAGGAGTATGTGAACTTGCTGATGCCACCCCTCATCCAGAAGTGGAACATGTTGAAAGATGAAGATAAAGATTTATTCCCCTTGTTGGAGGTAAGTTGTTTATGAGAACAACAGTGATTGTCAGACTTAACCTGTCTAGAAACATTTTGTGACATTTACGTTTCTTCATCATTTGTTTGATTGATGATGTTGGCATAATTACTGTTTAAAGCATTGCTGGATGTTTGTGACCTTTAGCTGACCCAGTCAACATTTTCTTTAGCCCTTAGGCTCTTTATGTTAGCATTCTCGACATCACATTTAAACAGTATGATAACCATAATTGTCATTGACGTTAAACTCGCAGCAATTAGAATGTTTGTTAAATGTTCAAAACTGTGTTCTCGCTTTGTTTCCCTTGCATCTGCTATCACACAGTAATATTTATTCAGTTCCATGTAAATCATTTAACAGCTTCAAATTCTGGGCGAAAGTTCTGGTTGTTCATCCTCTTCTAGGTTCTAGTCCTGTTCCAGAAATTGAGTGTTGTGTGCACATTCGTTTCACAGGTCTGACTCATTTGCATGCAGACTGCTGGTTCCGTGCCTCTCAGGCAGATGTACTCCGACTTTGAAGGAAGCTTCCAATTAGACTACTCTTACGACATGCTTTTTGACAGGCAGTGGGTCTATTTTGTTTCCCTACAATTGGCACCGGAACCATCACAGGAAGTTTCATTCAAATGAATTGGGAACTGTAGATGCACTAATTGCCCTGAAACAAGACATAAAAAGTAAATGGCCCTTTTCCACACGTTCAAGCATATAGGGCTAGAATCAGCACTAGGTTAGTGATGTCAGCACCATTCTGGTCGCCTATACTTCCCAGGACTACACATAGTACCCGTTCAAGGCTAGGTTGACCTGGGAGGCAAGGTCATTTTTAGAAAAAAGGTCAGGTACCATCTTGACCCAAACACACAACCAGGCGAGTGTGCAACAAGACATAAGGAATGCTAGAAATAAGCTTTTGGGTAGTAATGCGAGTTGAGTGTGCAGTGGTAGACAATGGGGCGTCATCATGAATGATTTATTAAGACAGCAGTTAGAGCACCGCAGCCAGCCGTTATTTTGGAGACTGCGCACATTTTGAAGTATAAACTAGCAGTCTACTTGCTCACCCGGTTAGGACGTGTGCAAGCTCGATACCAGACCTGTGTTTGTTGCTCTGTACTGTAATGAATATTAGTGAGTCTGGATGTGATGATAGTTACAGCATTGAACTGCAGTGATTGATGCTTGTATTCGTACTGTCTGATCCCATCTGTGGACTAACAGATGCAATTAAGACGGTACACGTGTGTGTGCGTGTATATGTATGTTAATTTTATTTTTCATGGTTAGTTATTTTATGTGAGTCGAAGGGGGAAATGTGCGTGGTGGCCTGGTGTTGAGCGTGTGCGAGTGGCAGATAATGTTTAGTATAGCCGTGTGGGGTGAGGTCTAAGTGTATTTGTGGCTTAGATTTTCAGTTTACTTCTATCTTTTTGCATCATGGGATGTGATGACAATCTAAGCGTTGAAATTCAGTGATTGAATGCTTGTATTCGTACTGTCTGATCCTAGAGCCTGTGAACTAACAGATTTTGGGTTCATGATGCAGTTATAAGACGATACACATGTGTATATGTACATATATGTGTATATATTTTTTCATGGTTAGTCAGTTTTTTACTGTATATATTATACCATCATATTTTAATGTGAGTTCAGGGACTTGATGTTTAGTGTGAGGTTACCTAATGTAAGTCTGATGTGGCCTGATGTTTATTGTGAGGTTGCCTAATGTTAAGTGTGAGGTAGGCAAAGAGTAATGTTAAGGGTAGCTATGTGGTGTGAGTGATTTGTGGCTCGGATTTGTAGTTTATTTTTTTTTTTATTGTATCCTGCTGGGATGTGATGACAATCTAAGCGTTGGAATTCGGTGATTGAATGCTTGTATTCGTACTGTCTGATCCTGGAGTGATAACTTATGGGCTACATACTGTGGTCTTAATTTAATGTTACCGCTCCTGGCTGCTGATAGATCTGTTGGACTTCAAGGCTGGTTAGGGAGTCGTTGATGTTATTTTAGAGCAGAATATATCTTGTAATTGCAGGCTGAAAGTCCCTTCTGGTATTTAGTGTATTTTTGTGGTAGGGTTTCAGTGTATTTTTTTTTATAGAGGGTTAGGGGCCTGATAGTCACTGTATTTGTGAAGTCTGGGGCCTGATGTTTTGTCTTTCTATCTTAAGTGTATCCTGTAAGGATGTGATGACAATCTAAGCATTGAGATTCAGTGATAGCATGCTTGTATTCGTACTGTCTGATCCTGTTTTCTGAAATCAGACTTGTGTGATCCAATTTTATCCTGCTGGGATGTGATGACAATCTAAGCATTGAGATTCAGTGATAGCATGCTTGTATTCGTACTGTCTGATCCTGTTTTCTGAAATCAGACTTGCGTGATCCAATTTTATCCTGCTGGGATGTGATGACAATCTAAGCATTGAGATTCAGTGATAGCATGCTTGTATTCGTACTGTCTGATCCTGTTTTCTGAAATCAGACTTGTGTGATCCAATTTTATCCTGCTGGGATGTGATGACAATCTAAGCATTGAGATTCAGTGATAGCATGCTTGTATTCGTACTGTCTGATCCTGTTTTCTGAAATCAGACTTGTGTGATCCAATTTTATCCTGCTGGATGTGATGACAATCTAAGCATTGAGATTCAGTGATAGCATGCTTGTATTCGTACTGTCTGATCCTGTTTTCTGAAATCAGACTTGTGTGATCCAATTTTATCCTGCTGGGATGTGATGACAATCTAAGCATTGAGATTCAGTGATAGCATGCTTGTATTCGTACTGTCTGATCCTGTTTTCTGAAATCAGACTTGTGTGATCCAATTTTATCCTGCTGGGATGTGATGACAATCTAAGCATTGAGATTCAGTGATTGCATGCTTGTATTCGTACTGTCTGATCCTATTTTCTGAAATCAGACTTGTGTGCTGCATGTCATGATCCAATTTTAATATTACCACCACTAGATCAGGGTTATTTCACTGGTATGCCGAATCTGGCCCGCAGAGGCCTAGGTCCACAGATCTTGCAAACTATATTGCATTAGTCATCTATCGAGGCTGGAGCTCAGGCCTCTGGTCCGCAACAAAGTTTTTAAACCCAAGTAAATTGAATAGTCCTGTTATAGATCATGATTTCAATTATTTGAGGTGGTTGGTTAGTATGGGGTTTCTAAGCGCAGTGGTGGACTGGAAGTTGCGTCTGAAGAGTTTAAATCTGATTGCTGAGGCTATTTCTGGGGGAAAGCTAAAGGTTTACTGGATCTTCTGAGTGCCACAAACAAAAAGTTTTGTGCTGGGAGTTAACCATTGTAAGATTCACTATCAATATGTGTGCATTATACTGCAATATCTCTTCCCTCTATCCTGCTGGCCAGCCACTTTCTTTACTGCCCAGCTTTGGAAATGGTGAAGTAAATCAAAATGACTTATCCATAATGTGGATGAAACTGTTGTTTGCATTAAGTTGGGTCATAACATTACGTCTTAGGAAGAATAGACTTAATTCTTCATGATTCATCCTTTTTGTATATGTGTGGATGCAATTAAATGTGACTGTTTACATCATAGCCGTGATTTTCTAGGCCTTTGGCTTTCACATTTAACTTATTCACACATTTGTTATTAAATCTGGCGTTTCTAGGTAGTTTCTTGTGACCTCATTGTCATTATCTTTGTCTCGTATTCCATGGTGTGGTAGCATAGAGGCTTGTAGGTTTATTGTTTCTGTGAGGTTGTAGGCCGAGTGTATATGTGTGGTGGAGGCTTGCAGGATTCGTATATGTGTGGTAGAGGCTTGTGGGATTCGTATATCTGAGGTTCTAGGTTGATTATATGTGTGGTAGAGGCTTGTAGTATTAGTGTTTCAGTGAGGTTGTAAGCTAAGTGTATATGTGTGTGGTAGAGGTTTATGTGATTCTGTGACATTGTAAGCTAAGTGTTTATGTGTGTAGTAGAGGTTTGTAGGATTAGTGATTCTGTGATAAGTTCTGTCTAACTGTCTGGATGGGAAGGAATTACCATTGTCATTATTTGCAGATCTGTGTGTGCTTTATATTGTATAATCTCTTCCCTCTATCCTGCTGGGCAGCCACTTTTATGCTGTCAAGTTTTGGAAGTGGTGAAGTACATCAAAGTGACTTATCCATAATGAAGATGACACTTCTATTTGCATTAAGTTGGGTCATAACATCTCCAGCAGAATAGACTATAGTGTTATCTGTGGCACAGATAGAGCACTTCTCTTCTGCAGCCTGCTTGATTCCAAACTTAATTGTGTAACCTTTCTTTCAGAGTAAACAAGGCAGGCATGCAACTCATGGTCCCTGCTGCTTGATGCTGTGGAGAGAAAGAGCTTTCATTAAGATTTTTCTTACCGTGGGCAGGTTTTGCTATTCACAGTTGCCATCGCCATGTGTCAGGCCATGCCTCCTATCAGCACAGTTTTACACATTTGAAAAAACCTATATGGTGTGGTATCTGAGAGGTTTATAAGGCTATTGTTTCTTCTGTCGCCAGTGCTTGTCCAGTGTTGCCACAGCCCTCCAGTCAGGATTTCTGCCCTACTGTGAGCCAGTCTATCAGCGATGTGTCTGCCTCGTAGAGCAGACTTTGACCCAGAATTACGTGAGTGCAGATTTTTACGCATTTTCTGAATTTTCTAGCCAATGGGTGTTTGGTTTGGACACCCATCTTTGGCTGTCATTTGTCCAATTGTTTTGACACGTGACAAGGAAGTGATGACAGTATAAGCATTGAGATTCAGTGATTGAATGCTTGTATTCGTACTGTCTGATCCTGTTTCTAAAAATGGGAATTACATGCTGCATGTTGTAATCCATGTACATTATGTTCTTTTTCATTGTGGAGATTACCAGCACATGGGTTTCATGACCCCATTATAGGGAGGGGGAGAATAGATCCACCGCCCATAACAAGCATGTCATACACATGACCCCTAGAGCAGGCGATGGTCTTGGCATGAGAGCCAACATATTTGTTTTAGGGGTTAGCGTGGCAAGGTTTAGGGCAACTTATATACATTGTGTGTATGCAAAAGAAAAGTTCCATCGAAAGAATATTTGAGATGTGGGAATTTGTTGCTGCTAGAAAGAGTTCATTTTTACCTACATGCTTCATGGTCCTCTGAGTTAGTTCCTGTAAATGTGGTACAAGGAATCAAAGCTTGATTGATTGTTGGTGTTCTGGTTAACACTTTACACTCACAGGAAAGGCCAGCAGAAGGGCATATGAACCGCAGCTGATACTGTCAGATTTGGTACTCTACACTAGCGGCTAAAAATGGGAAGTTGCTCTAAGAGAATGTCCTAGATAATCAGTAATTTTCCTATTGGTCACATTGTTAGCCGCAACCGGGCCACAGGGTTAAAAAATTTAGATGTGAATTTGTACGTACCGGGGACCCCTCATTCTGTATGGAATTTAATGTTTTGGTCGAAAAATAGAATTTTGAATTTTATGTGACCTGTTGTAAAATGTTTTAAAGATTTTCTATAACCGTGGCTGCAGGTTAATCCGTATCATGGGAAATGATGACAGTGAAAGCATTGAAACTCTGTGATCATAAATGCTTGTATTCGTACTGTCTGATCCTTGGCAAAATACGCTCAAGGGCATTTTGAAAGAAGTCTAGAAGTAAATTAACAAGAACTTTCTGATAGTTTACAGCCAGCTAAGAGAAGGAAAGGTCCAAATATTTCCCACACATATTTAATTTCTGTTTTCTGTGCTAATGCGGAGTAAATGATTGGCACTGATGATTGTTTTGCAGGCTAACCTGTCCCAACCTGACCAGTATGATCCCCCAGACAAAGACTTCATGATTGTGGCTCTGGACCTGCTCTCTGGGCTGGCTGAAGGCCTTGAGGGACATATTGAAGGCCTGGTGGCTAACAGTGCCATCCTCAAGTTGCTCTTTCAGTGCATGCAGGTATGTTCTTCTACAGCAGCGCAATTCAGCTTAGTTTACCCAGGACCGAAATCTTGGAAAATTGGTCACAGGCCAAATCCCTGAGCCCCGGCAAAGAAGAATCATTCATTATTACAAAACAGTTTGGCCACTGATGCGGCAAATATCTGGCCTGTGGGCCGCCAGTTAAAAATAGCCATGTTCTGCAGTAACAGAAGATGTCAGTGAGTTGAAGTCTCCAGCGTTGAAGATGTGAGTCCTTATCCAGTCCGTCCTCTGGAGCAGTCCCACAAAGCTTGTATCTACTTGGTGCAGGTGCTGACCTAGATATTGCACATGTGCACATTCAGAAACAGGGTCCTGTGATAGTTCAGCACACAGGCTAAAAAAGTCAGCCCTGAGTTTGAATCCTATATAGCAGGGCTATTTAACCGGCAGCCCGAGGAGGCATGGCAAATAGCTTGCTGGTCATAGGCAGTTGTATAGTTTTAATGACCTTTTTATGCTAGAACTCGGGTTTCTGGCCTGCAACGATCTCCATTTTGACAATTTTGTCCCCTGCGTAAACTTAGTTGAAAAGCCCTGCAGTTCATCCCTATGTATGCTCTGAAACATGTCAAGACTAATTACCTGAGAAGGGAGGAACCAACAGTCTGCATATAGATCTGAAAAATGGAAATGCATGCCAAACTCTAGTGTCCTGAAACAAGTTTAAAATCCAGAAGTGGATGAATGAGAACTTTGTATTAGAGGTTCAACATTCAGAAGTAGAATATACAATTTAGCATATTTTTTTTTTTGAAGTCTTTTATAAATTGGTGTATTCTTTTGTTTTTTAAAATGTGTCAATTGGCTTTTGTTTCTAAATGCAGGACCCAATGCCAGAAGTACGGCAGAGCTCTTTTGCTCTTCTCGGAGATCTCACAAAGGCTTGTTTCCAGCATGTGCGCCCCTGTATCTGTAAGTATGGCTACATTCTTTCTGTGTGTTTTAGTTCTGTGAAATCTGAATGTTATGCAGGAAATCTGGTTGATAGTATTTTCCAGTGGCAGGCAAACTTCTGCACTTGATCCATGCTCAACAAATTTTTTTTTAATGTCGAGGAGAAACATAAAGTATGTTTCTTTATTGATTTGATCACATTTTAAATAATTTTAACCCAGTCATTATAAGTGGCAGACTGCAATTGTTTGCCTAGTACAACTCAGGTTTCCAGGCCCGGCTCCGCCAATTTACACACTACGTTACCTTTCATTCATGCTCCGTTAGGTTCATCAACTTTGCTGAAGGTAGGACGTCATTGCTTTTACCGGTCCCAAAACATGCAGAACTGGCCCTAACACAAACCGTGCTATGAGAGTGATGCAGCCTACGTCCCGGGCATTCTTTTTCTCGGAATGAAAATGCAAAGAGAAGACAACGCAGGCAGCTTTTCGAACAAACAGTACAGAGAGGACCCCCTGACACTTGGAGTTGTCGATCTTGAAGGTTAAGTTGGAGACTTAACGTCCAATCACAGTGCCCTAAACTGACTCCGTCAATCATATAAGTATGTTGGTGGGCAGAGCTGACCCAGATGGGCCTGGAAACATGAGAAGTAATGCTTATCATGTGCATCTATTTTGTGTGTAAAATCACAGTGTAACTATCTAGAAAATGAGTTTTGATTATTATGTCATTTTTTTTTTTGTAGAATCATTCAATAGTTTGTGCTTTTTGACAGCTGACTTTATGCCTATCCTGGGAGCTAACTTAAATCCAGAATTCATTTCGGTGTGCAATAATGCAACGTGGGCCATCGGAGAAATCTCTATCAAAATGGGTGAGTCCTCTGCTATTTAGCAGTGAAGCTTTTTCACATGGTGTTTGCTTATTTAAGTACCCTGTTTGCAACTGTCTGTGTGCATGGGTTGGTGGGTGCGTGCATGATCTTAATATAAAGTATGTTTCGTACTTTTCAAATCTCTCCATAAAAAATTTGAAAGTCCTAAGAGGCTAACTGTACAAACTGCTTTGTTGTCTTTTCATGAAAGACTGGACAGTGTTTCCGAACACCCCAACAGTGGTGTCTGATTTGATATTGATTTCACTATAACCGAGAAGTGCAGCTGGTTTAGGAGGATAGGATAGAATGTTTGATTTTCCTGATCCCAGGTTCAAATCCTTGGTAAGGTAATCAGTGTTTGTTGTTGTTGGTCAAAAGCAACAACAAAATAGGCAACTGCACTGGCCCCAAAGCCTCCCTACGCCATCCCTAAAAATTAATAACTAGAAAAAGAAAATGATTTTTGGATCTAGCACGTGGATGCAGTTTTTATGTTCAGCTTACAGTGCATTAGAAAGAGCAGACATTTTATTGGATTGATTGACGATCAACCCCACCACGACGTCACACTGAGCAATAAATACCTGGTGACAAAAAGTGCCACCATTTGGATGAAGATCACCCAGGGACAGGTCCCAGAAACCCTGTTCCACTCATTCGTTGGGTTATATTAGGGAGCCTGGCAACAGTCTGAGAAGTGCTAAAAAATGGCATCCATATTGGGCCGACAAGTTACGTTTGTTTAGTATGCTGAGTTTAGATAACTGATCATAGCTGATGATTTGTGAATAATTGTTGCATTCTGTTGCTGATGTCTAGGGTTATAGTTGAAATGTTACACACATATATATGTGGTGTAGACAGCATATTACTTGTTGCTTGCAAATTCCATCTACAAGTCTGTACAATATATTAAGGGTATTCTATAATATTAACCTCATGTATAGTCTTGTGTTTAGTTTAAATAATGTTGGGTGTACATTCCAGGAGCTGATATGCAGCCGTTTGTTGGCATGGTCCTGACTCAGCTAATCGATATAATCAACAGATCCAACACCCCAAAAACCTTGCTGGAAAACACAGGTAAGCTAGGCAGAACTGCCTGTTGATTTCAGGCTATCATATCCTTAGCCTTCTCAGTTAATACTGCCCTAGGAGCTACAACAGTAAAAAAAAATTATAGTAAATTATTCCTTTTTAGCTTTAATCACAGAAATTTGTTTCCGCCTGGTCTGGGTTTCAGGTGAAGCTGTGGATATAAAATCGGAAGCCTAATTTCAGTAATCATTCGTAGTGTGGAGATAGCTCTATATGCAGACTTTTCATATTGGTGGTGTCCAAGAAAATGTAAAGATAAAATCGAGACAAATAAACTGAGAAATCTGTGAAAATTGAAAATGTTTGGTGTACAGTCTAATTTTGGCATGTCTATAAGGGCACATTTCAAAACTGTTTTGACTACTGGCAAAATTTGATGGAAAAAGTAAAGAGGGTTGGAAGGAATGAAAATTTTGCTCAGTCTAAAAACAAAAAGTTACACACTACATTAGGTCCAAAAACTATCCATACATAGGCAAATGTAATGTATCACCAGTGTCATTTCAAGCATAACTCTAGTTTCTGCAGAAGAGGGCACACGGAAATGTGTTTTCAAAACAATGGTTGTCATGTAAAACTTATTATGTATATTCTTTTTTATGTATCATATTGTTCCTATGTATCAAAACTTAAATATATAACATCCTGTATAAGGATTAAAATGCAAGATCAAGAGTTCAGATTACGCCAGTATTTAGGAACACAGCTAGATAAAGGGAGATTGGAATCTCTTCTACTTTTTTTCTGTTATCTTGTCCGGCAAGATTCTGTGACAAAAATTTAACAAGGAAAGATTTAAATCCAGATGAAAAGTATATTAGTGAGTTTCACAGTATAACAAACATGAACAAAACAAGAACGCTATGGCTATGGAGCCTTCATCAGCACATACATAAATTAGCAAGTTGGGCATCTAAAGTTTCATGTAGGAGGAGTCTCTAGCCTGGGTGTGTGGTGTTGGTTTTTGTGGACACAACTAGATGTAAGGTTTCATGTAGGAGGAGTCTCTAGCCTGGGTGTGTGGTGTTGGTTTTTGTGGACACAACTAGATGTAAGGTTTTATGTAGGAGGAGTCTCTAGTCTGGGTGTGTGGTGTTGGTTTTTGTGGACACAACTAGATGTAAGGTTTTATGTAGGAGGAGTCTCTAGCCTGGGTGTGTGGTGTTGGTTTTTGTGGACACAACTAGATGTAAGGTTTTATGTAGGAGGAGTCTCTAGCCTGGGTGTGTGGTGTTGGTTTTTGTGGACACAACTAGATGTAAGGTTTTATGTAGGAGGAGTCTCTAGCCTGGGTGTGTGGTGTTGGTTTTTGTGGACACAACTAGATGTACAACATAGATGTATATGTGTTTTTGATGTAAAAATGATGATTTATCTTTCCCTATGGTCACTAATTTCTGTACGTTTGCTTTACTTACGTTTAGTTCTCTACATTTTCCTTCGGTTCTCTTAACTACATTCATTTATCTGAAACCAGCTGAGTATATTCGTTTCTGTATTGCATAATAGTAGTTTGCATTGTTTTTTTGTTGTTGTTGAGACTTTTAATATAGTTGACAAGTTCAGAGATGTCAGAACGGCTGCCAGTCACGGCAATATTTGTTCAAGAAATATTTGCTTGAACACGGTCAGAAATTGGCATACTAAGTCTCCCACAAACGATGCTACGTTGCCATACTGTGTTTAGCCGCCTGTTCTGCAAATTGTTTTCTATATTACCTGTGAGAGTCCTTGGGCCCCATTTTGGCGGTTAAAAAAAGGAAGTTGGACACCCACTTTCCCAACATGCATGCCATTAAAGGCGGCTAATTAGGGGTGTGTTAAAATCCATTTGGAAGAAAAGGCACAGATATCACAGTTGAGCAGAGAACCACACTACATAATCAAGCTGCCATTTTAAGGATGCCTACAGAATGACATAATTTCCACTGTGCTGTCAACTATATTTCTTGTCTTCTGCTGCTCTTCGAGATATAATATTTGTTCCTCTTGTATATGCAGGTGGATAGTTTTTTCGGTGTTATGTGCATTTATGAATTGTTAATTTTAAATTTTTTTTTTTTTTTTTTGCATTATTTAAGAACAGGGTTTTGGTAAATATAGATGTATTTTTTTTTTTAAACAGGAATATTAGGCTGTTGATTTGTTGTTTTCAGATGTTTACATTCTTGTTTTAAAGATGTATTGTTTTGCAGGTGTTCATTTCTTGTTTTACAGGTGTTTATTTCTTGTTTTACAGATGTTTATTTATTGTTTTTATGTATGTATTGTTGATCGTATGTTCTCTCTTCCCATTATATTTGCCTTCTTCGTGCGTTCTGTCACCGTGTGTCCTCATGGGTACATAGCCATTACTATTGGGAGACTGGGCTTAGTATGCCCCCAAGACGTGGCCCCACTTTTACAACAGTTTATCAGGCAATGGTAATTTTTCTTTTTCTTATTTCCTACTTTTATTTTTTTTTGTGTTTTGAAACTTGATATGTTGTTAATGTTCCCATAACATTTAGTTTAGCATGTCCGTTGAATGTTTTTACAACCTGTTTTGCTTTCAACATACATGTACCCTCATGCCCCTTAGTAAGAAATGTATTGTTATTTGTTAAAAAATCAAGATTTCTGTGTCCTGTTAGTTTCTCTGTTCTTTTGATTTACTATCTCTAATTCTCTAATTAAATGTTAGAATTTAGCAACTGTTAGAATAATGGCTAATTTAACTGTTATGTTGAAGGTGAAATGGATCAGAAACCTGTAGATAGTTTAGATGTGAGCTTTTTAAACTGTCAACATTGTAGATGTATTTGTTACATGCAAGCATTTCTCTATTGTTATTAGACCTCTGTGGGAGATAACTTTTAGCAGTAAACCTGAACAGCTAGGTACTTACTGGGCTGTGTTCATTTTTGATTGCTTGTCTTCTAGGTGCACGTCACTCCGAAACATTCGAGACAACGAAGAGAAAGATTCAGCTTTCCGTGGCGTCTGTCTGATGATCGGAGCTAACCCCTCTGGCGTGGTGCAGGACTTTATCTTCTTCTGTGATGCCGTAGCTTCTTGGATGCATCCCAAACAAGACTTAAAGGAAATGTTTTACAAAGTGAGTTCTCACACTTCTTTTATTGTCATGAAGGAGAGTAATGATGAAAACTGTTTCATAGAGAAAGGAATGATTAACACTTCATTGTCTCATAGAGCAGAGTTTCTCAAACTGTTTGTCGCAGCTCCCTTGTTGGGCAGAAAAATAATAATTCATGGCACACCTAATCCTAAAGTTAATGTTAATTTAATTTAATGTTCAGTTGTCTTTAATGTGATCATTGAAACTGTTTAGATAAATTTTTCATTATTTTCTTTATGTTTATGGGAAGTCTAGTTAATTTTACCCTTAAATCACTTGAAGGTTGCTCCTGTATCTGTTTTTAATGTAAGGGTACATTTAGAATGCACTGCAGCCTTGCCAGGAGCATTGTTTTCTGTATACACCTGCATCCAGAACTCTTCCTGGCTTTCTCCATAGTGTTTCTGTTTTAAACTGCTGTCTTCGCTGATTTCAGTCAGATTTTGAAAAGTTCTTGATTATTGCTGTAGAACTGTACTCATAGAGGAATGATTAACACTTTCTCTTTGAGGAATGATTAACACTTTCTCATAGAGAGAGGAATAATTGACACTTTATTGTGTCAGAGAGAGGAATGATTAATAATGTCTCACCGAGAAAAGAGTGACACTTCGTTGTTTCCTGAATATATGAAGTTGTATATATATGTACAGTGACCTCTCAGGTTATCATTTGTTTATCTGTGCCCTGTAGCTATGAGTTAGTCTTTTATTATCGTCTGCAGATCTTACACGGTTTCAAGACACAAGTTGGTGAGGAGAATTGGTCCAAATTCTCTGACCAGTTCCCACAACCACTGCGAGAACGCCTCACAGTGAACTACGGGGTCTGAGGTTTCTGTCACAAATGCTCATTCAAGTACGTTTTGTTTCTTGTGTATAATCCAGTGCTTGTATCATGCTTCTGTTTTGTAAATGTTTCAGAATATTCTTTTAACCTGTTTCATTAAAAAAACTAGATTTATAATTTGTGCCAGTAAAAACTACCGTAAAATAATGTGAAACCAAAGGAAAACTAGTTAGCTTCACATTATCGCAGATGTTGTTATCTTAGTTTAAGCTTCATAACAAATAGGTAATCTCATAGTTGCTCTACTCCTGTGCCAATGAGAAACACAGAATGTCCATCACTGTTCATTGTGGGAAAACTGCAGTCTCTGCATACCCACTGCATTAAAAGCATAAGGCAGTCATCAGAAGTGCTAACAAACAGTCTGTCGCTAGAAATGCAGTTCATTATTGATGGAAGCAGCAATTACAGATATGTAGCTGCACACGTGATTAAGTATGGCACCACAAATTCTGCGGCAACAGGCCACTCACCATTTTCTGAATTCTACAGTTCAAAACACGTTCATCAGTCGCAGAAACTACCAAATTATAATCTCAACTCCTAAGCTGGGCAACAAAGCTATATCCTTTCAGTCTATAATTGAAGGAAAATGCAGCAGCCACCGTCTGTAAGAAGCAGAAATTTGCTACTACTACAAACGGAATGTGCCTAACCTTCATTTTGGAAGCCATTATCACAGATACAGACAACATGGGTACGTAGTGGCCTTCAGCAGCACAGTACATAAATATACAGTACCATAAAAGTGAGGTATTTCTGAGAGAAACCACTTCTGTCTGGCCAGCTGAATCTCTGACATTTATGTTGCCACCGGAAATAAATACTGGCCAGACAAAAAACAGCCATAACATATTAGAAATATTAGATAAAACTTGGATATTAAGTCCCCTGGACGAATTGGTGCCCATTAGATAGATAAGGCTGTTTTTGAGTTAATTTATGAAAGCTAATCTCATTCCATGCTCAACATGCAGTTGCTTTTTGTTTCAGTAAGAATTAAACATCTCTTGAGGATGCTATACTTATGTAAATAGATAACTGATAAGCCTGGAACATGGACACAGCAGCTATTTCTCTTTCTCTATAAACATCTTAGTTCACTAGAAGTTAACTTCTAGTCTCTTCTACATTACCTATAGATTCTTCAGTCACACTGCTCAGACAGGTGCACTATTATCCCGAAAAGATACAGTAGAGATTGACGAATAATCTGAGGGAGTTGATGATTTAGAGTGACCTGTCCTTGATTGTTGAAAAGAGTTGAATGTCAGAAAAGTATAAGAGTACATATAACAGTGCAGATGTCCCCACTTAACTAAGGCCTGCATATCCATCAGCTTTTTTAAAAGGTCGGTGCTTCTAACCAGTACTTTTTAATTTATACCAAAAACCTTATTAAATATTGAAAGCGCTCCCAAAAAAAGTTGCACTATATTTTTTTTTGATTGTGTAAATGGTATATAAGACACTAGCTACTTCAGTAAAATTTTTAAAATGCCCTCTACGCCAATAAAACCAGCACAGTTAGATAGCTGTAAACAATCTCTTTCCAATAGTACCTCATTTAGGCTTTTATGTCATTTCTGAGCTGAGATATGTAGGTTTTTGTGGAGATGAGATGTAAGAAACAGCCGCTAAAACTTGTGACCCAGAAACAAGAAGTTTTTCTCTGCGCAGTTCTGTATCGGCTTTGTTTACATTGGACTGTCATTGGACAAGATGGCAGGCAATGAGACACAGCCACTGGCTGAGCCAGCGATTGCCTGAAAAATGTCACTGTACGTCTACCTAGCCACCGTTCAGAAAGAAATTTTATACACAAATGTAAAATTGGACGGAGAATTCAATTATAACTAGCATTACCAGGACGAGTAACAGTTGAAGCCAAAAGCCAACCTCGAATTTACCGCTATTTTCAATCAAACTGATGACTAACAGAAAAACAGGACGTCCGGCTGTCGTAGACATGCGCTGTTAATGGGGTTCCCTCCTGCTGTTTTCAGCTATTTATAGCTGGTCCAAATTCCCACCAATGGCAAAATTTCATGAGAGATTTGGACCCATCCGGAAACCAGCTGCGAACGGTTTCCGGGTAACAGAAATTGCCGAAAAGACCGCCAATTGCCGAAACTGTAGTCGCTACAGACACCTTAAACCTTTTGCCCTGAGTATCCACTATTTGTCTTATTCCTGTAAAAGATGCATTAGGAGCAGCCTAGTTAACTTCATTTGGATTTGTTTATGCCTGCAGTGTTTCAGAGGCCTAGATCTGAAAATCTTAAATAGGGCGTTCGTGTGAACAAAATGTCTTTTTAAAAGCTACTTTGCTGTCTTATTTTCCTTGAAGACGAGATAACCGTATTTTTATTTAGACATAGCGTAATCTTCTTCGTTCACTGGCTGTTAATTTCGGCAGGAGGTCCCGCTAGTTTGCCCATTTGGACTTTTACTTGGACCTGAGTTTTGTGTTTCCATCTGTTTGACTGACTCAGTGTATATGCTTACTCTGTATTTACTGATTACTCTGTTAATAAATTTCCTGTTTATTTCTCCATAAAATTGAAATAAATACAATTTCCTGACCTGTCGGTTTTTGCTTTTTAAACATTTCTGAGGTGAAAGGGTTAAACACCTGCATGGAAAGGACTGTTTATAAAGTATATAGAAAAGACCCTGCATGGAAAGGACTGTTTATAAAGTATATAGAAAAGACAACAGCTATGACTGATTGGCTTCTTTTTTTTTCTTCCACAGGTCAGAGTGTGAACCAGAGATTCTCACACCGACCCCTGAGCCTCTCAACTTTTGGGAAGGGTTGGGACATGGTGGGGCGGGCGGGGTAGGACGGTAGGGGCCGGGACACTTCAGGGAGGGCTCCAAACAACATTGAGATGGGAGGGTGGACTGCCAAATTGCTGCTTCAGTGTCGGCCATTTATCCAATCAATAACTGTCTCTGCGACAGATGAACCTCTTTCTGGCTGTAGTACTTTAAAGCGTGTGCATTATTGTCCCTGTTGTAACTTCTAGGACCACTTTGTGATCAAAAAGCTGTTAAGTGTTTATAAACTTGATTACAGTTTGTCCACAGTTTGTTTAAAGCTTTCCTTTTTTGCAGTTCTGCCTTTTCTTGAACGCACTGTTTTATTTAGTCGGCTGCATGACTTGTGAAACCTCCAGAATTTTTTGAGTTTCTTTATACGTATGTTAGTTGTCAGACACGTTTGAACGATCCATCTATGCTGCATTAGACATTCTGGATGCATTTAATCGGTAAACATAATCACCATGACAATATACGTGTCTTTGAAAATTAACATAACTGGAAAACCTGTAAGTTAACCCCATCATTGATCCGCCATGTTGCATGCTGTGCGCCAGACACAGGGTTTCCAATATACATTGCAGACCTGAGCTCACCGGGGACCCTAGAAATGGTTCTTCTTATCAGAAATTCCTCATATTCAGATAAGAATTCAAGCAGGAAAGTATGCAGGGGTAAACAAATTGTTCTTTGCAAGAGAAATTCTGCAGTGTACTTATTTTATGCTTTATCAAAGCAGTTGCTATGTTTAGAACCCATAGAAATGTGGGACAAGTGTTGATCTTGTGACGACTGCTAGGCCAACTTCCTTTATTCCTTAGAAGATATGACACCAGGAAGGGTACAGCTGTACGGGGGTACAATTTGATGTTTGTAGCCTGGAGAAAATTGTGCAGCTGGGAGTGACCTGGGGATCTGGCCGACACTCAACACTTGCAGGGCAAGTTGGATATATATATATATAATCAGGCTGCCATTTGGGTCGGTACTCTAAGCTGGCTGGTGAAGATAGGAATATCCCGTGTGGAATGATGTTGGTTTTTGACTCAAATCGTCTGTACAAAAGGTAATTTTCCCAGCTGATACTTTTATTATTATATGCCATTGAGATAAATAGTTGCAGCTGACATTAGAAATTGCATCTGTGGTTCTTAACTTGGAAACTCTATTCATGTTATGCTAGTAAGAAGTTGGTCATCTCTACTTCTGTCAGAAAACTGGTTTTTAGTCTGTGTTTCTCACCATGTTCCGTCATAGAGTGATTTTGTGCATTCGTCTGCCTCCCTTGTTCCGTATTGTGACCTCCGTTACTTATAGCTCACGTCCAGTGGCTGAGGTGAGTTAAAACAAACCTCCAAGTCAGCGCAAGATCTAAGCTGATAGCAAATGTTGCTTGTTCCAGACCTGGTGTGAATGCATTGTGCACGCACCCGTGCCTCCGTCCCCGACACTGGCACGGTGTGTGTGTATGTGTTGTCTGGCTGGAAGCTATGGCTTACAGGGTTGGCGTCAAGCAGTCTGTGGTACTGTTCCTTTGTTTCAGCAACATAGTTTGTATTTGGTCTCTCATTGAACTGGCCTGTACATTTCATATAATACAATACTGGCGTTTTCTTTGTGAAAAGCTACACATTGGTACTGCCTTTGAAGATATTGACTGTGTTCCGAGATCAACGGCAGGAGATTGGTGAATCCTGGACAGGCTTTGTTGGGTGGGACCTCTGCATTCTATGCCGTTGCTGCACATTATGGAAGGAAAGTTTTACTTGCATTGATGTGCTCAAGTTTTTGTTCTTTGTTTTTCAAGTTTTATTAAGCATTACATTTTGAATTATATTTTTGTACGTGTTGCTTTTAATTATTGTATGAGCATATTAATTGAATCATGAAAATGGTTTTGTGTGTGTGGCGGCACAGGGTTGTAACACTTGCTTAGTTTTGCTCTTGAGATTTTTATGATGTTGGCAGAATGCGTGATAAGACCCACAGGTCAGGTGCTTTCAAAATAAAAAAGTCAAGGAACCCTTTTCATGCCTTTGGGCATATAGGGCTAGACTTAAATTTTATAGACCAATCGGTACAAGAGGGGTGATATGGTCAGCATCACGCCGGCTGACTATCATCTTGGGACTGCACTTGCCACTCAAGGCGTACTTACAAACTACTGTACACATAAGTTTTATTGGTTAGTAGTGGACACAAGATGGCGTGACTGCCCAGGGTCGCACACTTGAGGGACAGCTGGTCTGTATGGAACTGTTCTCTATAGGTAACAGCTATAAGTAAAAGTGCTGTTACGTCAGCCCTGCTGTTTTCACCTTGTTAAGCAAACTATTTTGCCAAGTTTATTACTTTCAACTTTAGCTGCATTTTAACGTGTTTTCTTTCATTTACCTGACAAATGAGTTGGACCAGAGAAACGGATGTACACGCAACACTATTTCTGGAACAGGACTAGAGTTTAGAAACGGACAAACAACCAGAACTTTCTGCCAGAGTTTACAACCGGTGAACGAAAACACAATCACACTAAGCACCACTTTGACCATATATCATCTTGGAATAACCAGTGTTTTAATCTGGCTCCCTGAGATGGTAAATCACCCAGAGAAGCAAGAAAGTCAAATTTTAACTGATAATGTAGCAACGTGCAGATATCAATGAATTTCCGGCATTTGCGCATCTTGATCAGCTAACACTTGTCTGAGCACGAGCAGGTGGTAACCATTGGAGTAGATAAAATTAGCTCCGGCTATAATTGATTCATGAATGCTTGGCTTGTTTTTATTTAATCTGTGGAGGTCTGTCTGTGATTGTTGAGCTGCCATTTAGTGTTTATTTCTATGTCACAGTTATTCTTGCACTGTTAACTTGAAACTGACAGATTATTGTATGTTTTAATTCTGCCCCTGTTGTATTAGTGTGAGCTGGCCTCTCAACTTCTATTGTTTTAATATGTTATACTCTCTATTAAAAACTAAACATTGAACCAGTTACATCCGTTGATCTGTTATGCCATGTTCTGCTTCTCCGCCACAAGTTTTCCAAATAAAAATTTTCTTTTGTTTGCTGCTGTGGTAAATACACTTTTGTGGGCACATTGTATGTACAACAAGATATGTGTCAAGTTTAGGCAGTTCATTTTTCTGGTGCCAGTAGCTAGCCTGTGTATGGTACATGCACATATCTTGTCAACAATGGTAAGGAGCTCTGGTGATGGTAGTTTGTCACATGTTATGTTTGCATGTTATGTGTCACTTTGATTGTACCAGTTATGTTGCATTAAACAATATTTGCATTGTGTTCCCGAGTTGTCTTATATTTAAGAGTTAGAGTGAGCTCTGGGGGTAGTGTTGAGTCTCTTGGTTTACCGGCTGTAAGCTTCGGTGGAGAGTCCTGATTGTAAATCCGTTTGGCTACATGCCAGGGCATAAGTTTTGCGTATACATCCATTTTACTGACTTATACTGGTTGTTCAGTGCCTCTCGTTACGTACAGCAAGTAAATAGGTGACAAACAACGGTTTTGAGGTGTCCTTAGTGCTGTAATGTCCATTCTTTATTTTAACAAAATATAATGAACACACCATAATTTCATACCACACTTTTCATGAGCATATATATAACCACACGATGCTGATTGCATTCCACACTTATCTTAGAACAAGAAAACCAGTTCCCTTAGTACGAGAAAGTTGCTGGCAAGCAGCTTGTTTTAATACACATGAACATAAATGAATCAGTTAAGTTTGTGTACTATCTTGTGGTGTCGGCTCGCTCAACTGTTTATGCCACTGTTCAGATTTCTTCAGTTTTGCTTCCTTTTTCTGTTTCTTCTTCTCTGCTTTCTCAAGCAACTCCTTTTCCTCCGTCATCTGCAGAAATTTGGGATCATGGGCTTGCACTTTGTACCCGAAAACGTCTCTGGCTTCTTGTAACAGAATCTCTTTCTTGGCAGCTCGTTCTTTAGCAGCTGCTTCTATATTGGCTTGTTTCTTTTTATATTCCGCTATCAGTTTTGGCATCTGCTGCATATTTTTAGCAATGATGTTACGCCTGGGAATAAAAAAAAAAAAAAGAAACATACAGCAAAATAAAGAATAATCAAGGTTTACAATTGATTTTACTGTACCAGGTTGTATCCCAAATACACAGCTTTGTTTCTGAGAGGTGAATCTATTTCTTTACTTCCTCATTTACTGCTTTGGGTGTCGAGGGGGAAAATATAAAGTTCTGCTCAACCAAACACATTGTGCTGTTGTAGAGTTTCTCTGATGTTATCTTTTCATCTTGTTCTTTGTCTGTCACAGGCTCCATTACCTTTTCTGTTTGGGTATGCTTGTATTGTACGGCATCACAAGGCAGTCAAACCATTTGACTTGCTGTCTGTGTATTTAATCCTAGCTGCCCCCCGCCCCCCCTTTTCCCTTTACAGCATAAGGCAATCCCCATCAGCACAAAGAAACATCTCATACAAAGCATATTCATTCCCACCCTATGCTACCAGTGCCAGACGTGGTCACTTACAACAAAGCATAAAAGAAAATTGGTAAATATAGAAATGAGGTGTCTGAGAAAGACAAGGAGTGACCACAAGAGATAAAATCAGGAATGAGGTCATACGAGATAAAGTCGCCACAGAACCAATTCTAAATTACATACAATGACAGCAAATAAAATGGTCTGCCCACCTGGACAGAATGCCTCCTGATGCTATACCATACAAGGCATTTACCAAAAGAGGAGAGGGACGTAGAGCAAGAGGAAGAACAAGATGGGAAGATAACGTCAGAGAAACTCTACAGCACCATATGTGTCTGGCCGAAGCAGCCAAAAGAGAAAGAAGCAGAACCTTATATCTCCCTCGATACCCAAAGTGGTAAAATAGGACGTGAAGAAGTATGCAATACTGAAGTGGTCCAGTGCTGACTTGTTTACTCCTGACCTCATCCCTGATTTGATCTTTTCTGGTCACTCAGAGGTTAGTGAACGCATTTAAGATGCAAGATCCTTAGGTACTATGGTTCGATTTACATGGCATGGTACAAAAACCCAGTGTTCATGGTTTTCAAACAGCAGTACAAGAGTCATACCATGCAAAAGATTGAGGCCTCACTACGTAACACTCCTAATGACTGCAGTGCATGGACTGTACCCAACACTTATTGTGGAAGAGATTGGTGCCTACCTATGTAACACTCCCAATGAGAGCAGTGGATGGTCTGTACCCAACACTGATTGTGGAAGAGATTGTGGCCGTACTAAGTAACACTCCCAATGACAGAAGTGGATGGACTGTACCCAACAATGATTGTGGAAGAGATTGGTGCCTACCTATGTAACACTCCCAATGAGAGCAGTGGATGGTCTGTACCCAACACTGATTGTGGAAGAGATTGTGGCCGTACTAACACTCCCAATGACAGAAGTGGATGGACTGTACCCAACAATGATTGTGGAAGAGATTGTTGCCTCCCTATGTAACAATTCCGATGACAGCAGTGGACGGACTGTACCCAGCACTGATTGTGGAAGAGATTGCTGCTTCCCTATTAAACATTTACGATGACAGCAGGGGATGGACTGTACCCAACAATAATTGTGGAAAAAATTGTGGCCGTACTATGCAACACTCCCAATGACAGCAGGGGATGGACTGTACCCAAGAATAATTGTAGAAGAGACTGGTGCCTCCCTATGTAACACTCCCAATGACAGCAGTTGATGGACTTTACCCAAGAATGATTGTGGCTGTAATATGTAATATTCCCAATGATAGCAGTGGATGGACTGTACCCAAGAATGATTGTGGAAGAGATTGTGGCTGTAATATGTAATATTCCCAATGACAGCAGTGGATGGACTGTACCCAACAATAATTGTAGAAGAGACTGGTGCCTCCCTATGTAACACTCCCAATGACAGCAGTTGATGGACTTTACCCAAGAATGATTGTGGCTGTAATATGTAACACTCCCAATGACAGCAGTGGATGGACTACCTAAGAATGATTGTGGAAGAGATTGGTGCCTCCATATGAAACATTCCCAATGACAGCAGTCGATGGACTGTACCCAACACTGATTGTGGAAGAGATTGGTGCCTCCCTGTGTAACATTCCCAATGACAGCAGTCGATGGACTGTACCCAACACTGATTGTGGAAGAGATTGGTGCCTCCCTATGTAACATTCCCAATGACAGCAGTCGATGGACTGTACCCAACACTGATTGTGGAAGAGATTGGTGCCTCCCTATGAAACATTCCCAATGACAGCAGTCGATGGACTGTACCCAACACTGATTGTGGAAGAGATTGGTGCCTCCCTATGAAACATTCCCAATGACAGCAGTCGATGGACTGTACCCAACACTGATTGTGGAAGAGATTGGTGCCTCCCTATGTAACATTCCCAATGACAGCAGTCGATGGACTGTACCCAACACTGATTGTGGAAGAGATTGGTGCCTCCCTATGTAACATTCCCAATGACAGCAGTGGATGGACTGTACCCAACACTGATAATGGAAACGACACAGAATTATTGTTTGTCTCCTATCGCTCGGCCTTTCTCCACACAACCGCTATTCAGTTTCAGAGAGCAGGCGGAAAAAAATAAGTTCAGGACAATTTGTCATGCCTACGGCAGACTGGGCATATAGGGTTGAGCTTATATTTGACGGACAGATCTGCCCTTGGTGGGTGATGTGGTCAGCATCATGCTGGCTGCCTTTACATCCCAGGACTTTTAAAGAAGGCTGGGTCTATTAGGGAGCCAAGGTTATGTTTTAGAAAAGTACAGCACCCATCTGGATTTTGAACCATTGGCCTTTGGATAGCAGGCGATTGATCGTCTAGCTGCTACACCATTAATTCGGTTTTAAAAAAGCTCTGATTTACAAGGAACACCACCCCCCTCTTTTCCCCCATGTTATTTGTAGTTAACATTCAGTTACGGGTCTTGTAAAACTGCGCAGCACACATAGAGCCAATGATATTTCCAGAACAGGTCACTGTAGACATGCCGTTACACCCGCATTTACAGGATTGTGTCACAAGAAGCAATCAAATGGTTCTTTTTTTGGTTCAACGGGGGTTAAGTCTTTCCCAGCAACTCTTTCTTCCACTCGTGGAATGCCTCGCAGCATCAGGACAGGAAGAGATCTCTGGAATGGGCCCTTCTGTTTGTTTCATATATAGTATTTTGTCAGTGTCTCTGATATTTCTGTGCGTCCATCTTTTGCCTGGCCCTTTGGCTGTGTTACCGCTGTATCTGTATAACACTGCTCTCTGTTGCCATTTGTGTTTTTTAACCAAACCATCTGATCCGTCGTCTACACATAAAGTTCAAGTCGATCTTTCCTGTCCCTGTTAAATCTGTCTCTTCCAACCGCTCATTACAGTCCCTGTTGAATATGTCTCCCTCTGACATTATTGACTGCAACTGCTGTGTCTGTCTTTCCCTGACATCTTTCCAAGCCTTTGCTACAATATACAGGGTTATTTAAAATGATGGATACACTTTCATTCACGTATATTTCCTTGACTATATTTTGAATATGAACAATATACATACACGAGAGAGGGAATACCACTGATAGAGCGCAATTTCATAACCAACCACTCAAGTGCGCATGCTCGTGCCACCAAGGACTCTTCAGATACTTCACGCGTGGAACGAGTTTGGTGCCAAGCAGCAGATAGCGGCATACTGAACATCTATAACTTTTATTGTAAGTTAGTAAACTTTAGACTTTCCCCTCTCTTGTGTATGCATACTATTAATATGTAATGTATATTCAGGGAAATATACATGAATGAAAGTGTATCCATCATTTTGATAACCCTGTACATTTGAATATTTTATTTTATATATATATGAAATAAGTGTGCCGCTTGCCTCCTGGTCTGAAAAGCAATTCATCCACTACACTGGTCATACCACATAGGAACCATATGTTTTTACAGTGACAAACATTCCAATTACCTTTCTAGTTTGGCTTTCTCAGCTTCAACCTTCTCAGCTTGTATCCTGGCAAATCTCTCTGCAAGAGGTGACCCTTCCTCTATTTCCTCTTGTTCCATATCCAGCAGCTTTGCTCTCGACGGCCACAAAATTCTGGGATCTTCTCCGGAAGCAGCTCCCAGCTGAGCATACAGCATTTTTCTTTTATGCAGATCTTTATAAGATAAATTTGGAGCCTGGCCATGGTAGATTTTGTATAAATTCTCTGGAAGTCCAGAAGCATTTCTCAAGTTGTTGATTCTTGATTGCTCCTCTTCATCTAAAACTGGGATGAAAAATATTTGAGTGGGTAATATAAAAGGCATGCCCACAACACTGTGTTCTGAAAATACAGTGTCTCCTCGGTTTACGACTGAGTTTTGCTCTCACTAAGAGGCTGTGAGAACTGGTCGTAAGCTGAACTGATATTTATCAACACTATTTTCATTCAAACAGGTTATAAAAATTGTACATAAAACATATAAACTAAATACACACGTATAATTATTGTAGACAGTGTAAAAAATACATATGTACTCAGTTCTGGGAATTTGTTGACCCTATTAATGTATTTATCTTACTTTACTATTTTGATTTGTGTTTGTGGTCATAAGTGTAGATGGTAATAATAAGTCGCATAGGTCATAAGTCTAAAAGGTATACTGCTAGTCAAATACATCTTTTCTTATTATTCTTCCCCCTCTTTTTAAACATTTTGACAATAAAGTTTGTTCCCACATTCTTCTATGCTCGCCCAACACTTGATTTGACGGACAGCATTTGTGCCTTCAGCTGGCACATCCAACCTGGCATCTCTGTCAGTTCTTCTCTTACAGTTTCAGTTAACTAAAGGGAAATGCACAGACTGGCACTCATAGCGAAAAAACTGAGCTTAAGGAATATTTCAGGGCTGAGCTTAAGGAATATTTCAGGGCTGAGCTTAAGGAATATTTCAGAGCTGAGCTTAAGGAATATTTCAGAGCTGAGCTTAAGGAATATTTCAGGGTCTCAGTGTGGTGTTATCAGGAGCTTATGAGCATCAGTTCCATTCATGCAGGACACACTCTAGTAAGCCCACTCTGAACATCCACATCGTTCAGTCTTCAATGAACAACATGTGTCTTCTTCTTCTTAGTGTTCACTAGTTGCAAACTCCAGTGGACAGATTTGGTTGTTCATCCACTACTGGACTTTGGTCCTGTTTGAGAACTTGAGTTAAACTTGTATACCTGTTTCACAGATCTGACTGGCGTGTATGCAGATGGTTTATCATCTCTCAGGCAGATACGCTCTGACTTTGAAGGATCCAATTTCAGTGGACCCCTAGTTATGTGAAATTTTATGAGATGCTTGTCGGGGAGTGGGTATGTCCCCCCCCACCACCCAAGTTGCTCCGGGTCTCTAAACCCACAATTGAATCATATTTCCTGTAGATTCATTACAATAGTTTGCTGTGGTTAGAAATGTAGGTGTAAACACATCCCAGTGCTTGAATTTTATATTTGGCTGCTGTTAATAATGTAATGGCTATCTTCTGAATAACGGTCCCAAACTGTCGAGGCCGAAAATGTACCCTAACAGGGCCTTAGTCACGTGTCAATTGAGCCTTCCTGTGACTATACAGCCACGGCCAAGTGTATCTACCACGCCACTAGGCGCGACGTGGATTGGGGCTAAACCTGCATCTCCAGTTCGTAACCCTATAAAAATAAAGTTTCTTCGTTTGTTCATATGGTTTTCTTAGCTCCATACAAGGTAGTGGCATCACGTTGTCATTAGTAGGTACCACAACTTAGCTAGCTAGCTAGCAAGCTGCACCCTGGCCCAAAAAAAAAGTGACTAAAAGTGTCACATCTAACCCTAACCCTACAACTAACCACGCAAATGTATCGGTCATTAAGGCATACAGATCTGCAGGAGTCACATCCGTGGCAACTAATAGCACATGTATATATATGGATATATTTACTAAAAACAAAAACTCAGATGTCCCCAAGGCGTCAAATAAACACCCAGATCTGGGGGAAACACCCAAGCATTGGCAGCCCTGATGTCGACCTCACTGTCTGTTTTGATTCGTGACTTTTCCCGCTCCGTATTTGCAATGCAGCCAAGGGAGTGAACTCCCACTAAGCGACCGTTGGCTTTCCAGCTAACGATCTGTATTTAAAGGAGAGCTATTATGTAAATGAGTTTGGCTCTCCTTTCACTACAGGCCGGTAGCTGGAAAGCCGCCGATCGGCTTAGTGGGAGTTCTCTCCCTTGGCTGCATTGCAAACACGGAGCGGAAAAGTCACGAATCAAAAAAGACAGTGAGGTCGACATTAGGGCTGCCAATGCTTGGTGTGTCCCCCAGATCTGGGTGTTTTTTTGACGCTTCGGGGAAATCTGAGGGGGGTTAGGGGTAGGGTTAGGGTTAGATGTGACAATTTTGACGCAGAAGTTCCAAATAATCGCGCACAGTCACATACACACCCAAACAATCGAAGGACTGTGGATGCTACTCAAACGGACAATTCGCCACCAGCCGCACCCTATTTCCGTCATATTTGGGAGAATTCCAGTTGCGCTACTCCCACAAGCATCAGATTGTCAGCCATTATTTGGAACTCCTACGTCAATTTTCACATCTAACCCTACCCCTAACCCTAACGCCGCTAACCCTATCCCTACCCCCTACGCCACCGTATGATGACTACGCAACCGTATGATGATAGGTAAGTATGTCATTTGATTCGTGACTTGTCCGCTCCGTGTTTGCAGTGCAGCCAAGGGAAAGAACTCCCACTAAGCCGATCGGCGGCTTTCCAGCTACCGGCCTGTAGTAAAAGAAGAGCCATGAGTTCTGATATAGCTACAATACGATAAGACAAATGAAGATTTTTTTTTTATACATTCTTAAATATAATAAATACTTACTAGTGTTGTGCTGTTCAAGTAATTTATTTATGATTAACAGTAAGTTACTGAGTAGCACATCACTAAAATAACTGACAAGGTCAGTCACAAATAAAAACAAAAGAATTTTTTTTTTTTACAAATTGCACAACGATTGTTTACACATTTTAAACCAGCACAAGAACGTACCATTTTCGTTTGTGGCGACATCACCAGAAATCTGTGTCCCTTCTCGTGCAGTTGTATAACTTCGAGACAATCGAGTAATGAGACCACATCTCAGTGAAGATTGACTTCTCCTGGCGATCAACTTCAACGTCAGACTCGGCAAGGACGCCATGTTTCTCACATAAAACCAGAGTAGACTCCCTTGAAAGGAAGCTGGAAGTGAGTTTTGATCAAAGTCTTAGCTGCAGATTGCAAGTTGATACTAGGATCAACAAGGCCAGAAAGAGTTTGGCTACAATGAGAGTTATGGCTGCCATGTGTGGTCAGCAAAGGCTGCTAGTCACCATCTATCAGGGTTTGATCCTCTCTGTCATAGAATATAGGCACTGGAAATCCTCACCCTAAACAAGACACTGACAGACTTATTGGAAAAGGTACAAAATGAAGCAATGCGCATCATGCTTGGCTGCACCAAAGATACATCACGTAGAGCAGTGAGATGCCTACTGGATCATCTTCTAGATATAAACAGCAGGTTTGAAATGCCTCAAGCGTGTACCTACTTCATAATCACTAAGAACTTTACACTTCCCCTGAACGATGAACTGAATACACGTTAAGGCAACCGACTCAAAGGAGGCTAGTCTTGGTTGGTCTGGGCAGAGGCAGTACTTCGACGGGTGATTTCTTTTCAAGACATAAACCGTGAAGAAAATGGATACTGATACCAAATGATTACAAGCAGTACTTTATGGTGGTTATCATCCTGACGTGACAGTACCGTGATTTGGCACCACCGATAGCGAGAGACAGGGAGCCAACAGTCTACGTACAAGGAAGCAGATCTGTAAAATGGATGTGCAGCAAAGCTTAGGTTCTTTGACAAGAGTAGAAACCAGAGGTGGCCGAACAACCAGAACTTTCCGCTGGAGTTTACAGTCGATGAACGCAAAGGAGAAGAACTGTTTACATGTGTGCACTTAAAATGTAAACTCACATGTGCTAATATGCCCATACATATGTACTATTACATACATATACTAGAAAACACACGCAAGCACTAGCACACTTTCAGAAACAAACATGTGAATCTATTCAGCACTTTCATGGTAATAATCTTTCATAGCTTCTTTGGGTTTCTCTCAAGTTCAGTGAACATGACTGATATTTACTCTTGATTGTCAACTGTGGTTGTAACACACAATATTTAACAGCATCATACATTTTATCGACAATGTTTTTATTTGCTCTGATATTAAACATTAAATTATCATGTCAACAACAATAAACCCCTCCCCCACACCCTCATGCTTCTTTCCACATAGGCCTACTCTGGTGCATGAGCGAGTTAGTCCGCTCACTCATTTCCCTTTACGCCAGCATGACCAGGTGTGTAGATCCAGGTAAGCGCTAAGATTTATTGAAGCCGCAACCATTCATAACCTCCGTCTAGAACTTTCTAAAAGAATGTCATGATAGTAACTTTGCAGTTGCCACGGTAAAACAGGCAGTTGCTTTTGGGAATGAATTTGAACTTCAGTTGTAAAGGAATAATTTAGTTACTTCATTTTATAAAATTTTTATTTAGTATACACCTGATGAGATACCGCGAAATATACCAGGCAATAAATTGTTAATCTATTGTCTGTGTCATCTTTGTTCAAGTTTCTCGATTGTTGATAAAATCGCATCGACATTCGTTAGTAACCCCCTTGTGGGATGCAATTTTTCGTTATTCGAAGCCCCACCCTGGCTTTTGCCGGGGACCCTGAAGATAGCTGGGCCACAAATGTAGCCATAACGGCTGAAAGGGGTTTCTGTGACCTCTCCACTGGTGATCATCATCCGCATGGGTGTCATTACGGGGTGTTTATCGCTTGTGTGATGTCCTAGTGGTGTACAACAAGAAAATAAGCAGCAATCGCATTGACGCCGTACAACACTGGGCTGGGTAAGAATTTATGTGATGACAAGACAGAGCCGAGCAGTGTTGCTCGAAAAAAAAAAAAAACCATCCAAAGTGGCAACACTGGAGCCGAGGGACCGGTTGTTGAGGTAAACATACCAGTTTATAACCGCATGGCAGTTTTCAGATATTGATTTATATGACAGAAAATATTGATTTTGTCGGGTGATCGTTGCTGTTATTGATCTGTGCAACCTTTCTAAGTAAACATATTTGCCATTTATGATATTAAAAGAAGGATGGGTTTCATTTTCCTCGCCTTGACGCGGGTTTGGCTGGAAGAATTTGGTTTCACAAACACAAATACAAACACGTTATAAAACACATATATAGGTTGGTTGTGTATCCTTTACAGGACGTTACAGAACCCACCCCAACAGCCCCTGGCCGTTGTGTGGTTTTTCTAGGCAAATTTACGTCCAGTAGTTTGCCATTGCCTTCTGGACGGTCCGCTTTCTTGATACCACTTTCGAAACCAACGCAAGGCGCATGGCCCGCAGCTGGGATCAAACTCGGCATCCCGGCCCGTTTGCATCGACTTAACCACAGAGCCGACAATAAAACACACAATGTGAGTAATTAAAAACTCTACGGCGGAGAGAGCAGTAGTGCAGCGGACGTCTGTTAATAATTATATTTGTATACACCAATGGTTTTACCATGGGTCTGTTATGAGGCCAACATCCTACCGACCTCCTTTACTTCCCAAAATATTGTCTCCTTTTTCTTCGTGCTCTCCAGCTGTAAACACAGGCGGAAAACTCTGGTGGTTCGTAAACTTTTAGACTCTAACCTTGTTCCAGAACTTGAGTTGTGTGTGCACATCCTTTTTACAATGTTTTATTTATATGCAAACTGCTGGTTCCTCACCTATCAGGCAGATACACTCCGACTTCGAAGGAAAGACCACTAATTAGTTGCCTTTTACATTATGCTTGTTAGGGGGGCGGTGGGTCTATTACCCCCCCTCCCCCCCCCCCCCCCCCCAATGCGGACATGGAACCCACACAGGGGGACCTGGGACCCAATGTCAGTTTATTTGTTCACATCCGCGGTTTCCAGGTATACCCAACTTAGAACAGATACCAGTGTGGGTTCCGGAGTCCCATTGTAGGAGACACAGAGAATAGAGCCACGGCCTCCCCAACAAGTTTGTTGCAAGAATAGATTAATTAGGGGTTTCCCTTCGTAGTCGAGTGTATCTGCGGGAAAGGCAAGGAAATAACAGGGCTGGTTATTGTTAAAGTCGTACGCTTGAAGGATGCAATTTTTCTTTATTTTCAAGCCCCACCCTGGCGGTTGCCGGGAGCCCTGATATAACCTAATGGGTGAACACGACTTCCGGGACCTCTGCACGGGTGTTCCTCATCCGCATGGTGGCACTTTATGTCAGCGGATGTTTAGCGCCCTGTGTGATGTCCTGGTGGGGTAAAACTTAGTTATTGCCAGGATTTACAGCCACTGAACACGAAAAAGAAAAAGTCAACACACACATCAACAGCTCTTTTAAGGGTGAACGCATAAGAAATGAAAACCATAGATGTAACAGGAAGTTAAGGCGGCTGTTGTAATATTGATGACACCACTCAGTATATATCTTTTTTTTTTCTTCCGAAAATGTGACCTAGCACTGGTCTGGTCGGGTCTGGTAGTCTTTGCTTCAGCTTCTTAGCAAACGGGTCACCCCATCCTTGCTCCGCTCCTGTGCCAACGAAAAACACACAGAATGTTTATCACAGCCCTTTGTGGAAAGAGTGACAGACTGCTGTCTCAGCATATCTAGCATACACTCGTATTAAAGCATACGGTAGCCATCCGAAGTGCTAACACAAACAGTCCGACATAAGAAATGCAGTCTATCATTGATGGTAGCAGAAGCCACCAACAGATCAGCAGTTGCCCACACGATCAATTTTAATGACATACGGGCACCACCAACATTGCACGACAGGCATCGCGTCATTTTCTTAATCTACAATTCACACACCACGTTGGTCACAGTCGAAAAAACATCCCAAATAAAATTTGCAGCTCACAGTGTCACGCCATGCATTCAACTCAGAAGCTGGGCGACGAAACTATATCCAGTCTACAAATGGAGCAAAAATGCATCGGCCATCGTCCGGCAGAAGCAAAAAGTTTTCCTCCGCTTCGAACAGTGCCCCAATAGAATGAAAAATTTCCTTAACTTTTTTCCCAATCATATACACAATGCATGGCCGGGGGGGGGGGGGGGGGGGGGGGGAGGGGTAGGGGTAAAAGAAGGGGGAGTGTAGGATGAACAGTTCTTTATTTCACATTACCGGAATTACCTCAAGCATTGGCAAGCATCAGCAGCTTTTAAAAAGCCCAGCAAACTATGGAACTAAATTTTTAGTTTTAAAACCAAGTTACGTATTATCATTTCTAATGTTATTTGACTTCAAACATACGCCAGCGAAATTTAAAGAACCTTCAAAGACCAGGAACGAATGTTTAATGCATTTGAAAACACCCGGATGAGGAAGATGGCGAAGAAGATCAAATAGGATGAATGTAAGAAGAGTAAAGAAAAAAAAAAAAAAAAAAAAACATGCATGGGCTCACACTTGTATCAACAGTTGTAAGACAAAGAAAATAGCACTATATTGGACACATCCTGAGAACAAACGATCTGATAATCACCAAATAGGCACTGAGATGGAAAACAAAGGGATTGCGGACAAGAAGATGTCCAAGAGAAACCATAAAACGAATGTTGACGAGAGAGGCCAAAGGTGCTGAACTGGATTTCATCCATGATATCAACGGACCTGCATATAAGAAAAGGGGGGGGGGGTGGACTGCGAGCCCTATATGAATGATGATGATGAGTTTGCATGATTATCACAGTTATAAACCTCGCGATCACCAGAATTCGGATCGGGCCATTGTTCCAGCTCCACATAATCAACCCCTTTAATAATCATCCATAAACATTTACATTTTCTCCGCCTTTGATATCACGTTTGTTCAAAGTGGTAGAATGTTTCAAACTCCCGAAATAAATACCGAGTCTATCGATTGATGACAAAAACCATCTGAAGTTTGCCTTTCTAATCTGGCATCGATTTCCGCATTGTGGTGCAGATTTTCTGCCACCAGCTTCCAATTAAAACGTCGTTATCGAACGTGGGTATTGGGAGAACTGCTAAACACACAGAACCACCGCATGCAAAGCAGAGCAG